TGTTGTACTTCGTTCAGTTACGTATTGCTTATCGCTTGGAGAAACGGCTATCAGAATTGGTCATTGTGTCGACATCTCTGCAGCAAGGAAATGTGCTTTGGTTACTGGGTGGCATCAAACATCATGGACTCTCATATGACACTGGCTAAGTATTGTTACCATTACCTCAAAGATAAATTAGTAATATGCATTTCTATAGGCCCATCATTCCATCAAGCTTTAATTTCGCATGCTCTTTGGTGCCATCAGTCTATCCATACAGTTGTCAGTGGCAAATCTTTATTGAATTGAAAGAGCGAAGGTCAACATTTGAATTTGGGTAGGTGTCTCAGAAGCAAGCAAGCGATCTCTATCTTATAGTTGTGGTTGTCAAGGATACCGTTTCCATGGTTTTGGAGATTAAAGTAGCTTGAGCTGTTGGACACCTCTTGTATAAATGCATGAACACTGTACATCAATTCTTGATATTGGGGTTACCCCGCTTGAACCTGAAACTTTCACACAATGTGCTTTTGGACATGCTGATCAACTTTTTTTAATAAAAAACCCATGCTTCATTAACGAAAGCGACATCCTTAACGATATAAATGTTTGATCGATTATCAGGTCGGGAATTCAACCGAGTAATGGTTAAAAAGACAATGAGAGGAAAAAACAGTAGGTGCTGTCATGTGGGTTGTTGCAAACAAATGAACTTATGGTTGGTACTTGAACGTGATTACCATAATGTATGATATCAGGTTTTCTTCCTCTTCCGCTCTACTCAATGTCAAATGATAATCAAGTCGAAATCAAATCTCGCAGTCGATTGCAGCAGCTGCAGCTTACATCCGATCCAATTGATTACCTATTCTCTCCAACGACATTAGCCCGAGATCTTTCATATGTGGATAAAACGTACTATAATGAATCAAGGCACACATCCCAATCATTGGAGTACCATGAACAAGCGACAACACAAAAGAATACCCCCTTGACAACCACTCGTATGTGCAAGATGCTATTCCACCGCACCTTCCATTTCATATCCTCGGTATCGCATCTCGAATTGTAAGCCCACCATTATACCCACTTTAATTCACTCACATGCAGCAAACTTTCCTATATCTCGTCATGCCCATTCTATAGGCGAAATGCAGGCTTACATTCCTTGCCGACCGAGATTACGACATTAATACGGCTATCATTCCTTGATTTATCACACAATCGGTTATCCTTGCTTCCTTCTTCTATTCAACAGCTGAAGCGGCTTCGACATTTGAACCTTGCACATAACCGCCTATATCATCTACCGGATGTGATTGGGAAATTAAGGAGGTTGATGCACCTTGACGTGTCACACAATGGTCTTCGAGAAGTGCCATTAGCAATAAGTGAGCTGGTGCATTTGAAATGGCTTGACGTATCACGTTCAGGCATTGATGCTATCCCTGCTGAATTACTACGACTATCCAAGATGACCATAAAAACGGAAGGTTGTCCTAGGTTGCAGCGTAGGGCATCACGTTTCCAACATCCTCTTTTACATGATGCTCCTAGCCTTGTCGAAATCTGTGCTAGGCATCTTGTCAAACAAAATGATAATGCAACTCCGCCAATCGCTGTGCAACAAGCGCTGCCAATGCGTGTAACTAGCTATTTGTCTCAGCAGAAACCCTGTTCATTTTGTGGACAGCCGTACTTTGGGCCACCCGTGGTTCGATATCGTATTACCCTTCACAATGATGGTCACTATATCCCAATCAAGTACCAAATGTGTGTTGCGCATTGGTCGGATGATACAGATAGGATACTTGCATTTTTCTCACAACCCTCTTCCTTGTTGTTGCATGCTGACCACATTTGAATGGTTGCCAAAAAGGATCCAAGCCTTCCTTAACATTCGCGCGCAATTGCCATGCTATACTTGGTCTTATCTTATATACACATTTATCAACTATAATAACGTTGCATTTAACATGTCGAGAATTGAAAATCGAAATGGGCAAGTGGATGGGTATACAAGATGTAACTACAGGGAGCAGGGGTGTAAAGCAAACATGCATGGCTTGTTGCCATGCCATTAGAAATGGTTGTAAGCAAGGGAAAATGTAATTGCCATGGGGCATGGTATGGGCCTCTTTACCCTTGTATGCACAATGACTCCCATGTATGCAAGTGCAGAGGTATATAAATCGATCCATGGTACATCTTGTCGCGAAGACACATTCTTTTACCTATTCTACTTGTAAACATGCGCGTCGCTTCAATCCTTGTGGCTACCTCGTTGTTCCTTTCTGCTGCTCATGGCTTTGGGCTTGGATTTGCTGCTGATAGTGGCGGTGGAGGTGGTGGCGGTGGTAGCAAGAAGATCGTCGTCAGCAACAACTGCAAGGATACTCTTAAAGTAGGCGTATCTACCAATGGACAATCAGGTGGTGGTGATTCGTTTGACTTGTCACCAGGCTCTAGCCAAACCATTACCAAGAGCGATCATTGGGGTGGTCGTGTTTGGGGAGCCCACTGTGGTGATGGTGGTGGCGGCGGCGGCGGCGGTGGCGGTAACAACAAAACTAGTGGTGGTGGTAACAGCAAGAGAGATGGTGGTGGTGGACATTGCAGTGGTGGAGCCGATAATCCAGCATCACTTGCCGAATTCTTCTTCAAGGGTATGGGTGGCCATGATTATTACGACATTAGCTTGGTGGATGGATACAACTTGCCTATGACTATCAACCCTGACAAAAGTGGAGGTGGTAATGGCAAGTACAAATGTGGCTCGCCATCATGTGATGTACCAAGCTGTCCCAAGGAGTATGCTGTCAAGGATAGCAGTGGCAAGGTTACCGGATGCAAGAGCTCATGCTCAGCTACCAACAGTGATGAACATTGCTGCAAAGGGAAGTACGATGATCCCAAGACTTGCAAGCCCGATAAGCAATCTGAAAACGTCAAAAAGACTTGTCCTGATGCCTATTCGGTAAGTCCTTTCTATAAGCTTTGGTAAAAAACGACTCACACTCCATGTCATAGTTTGCCTACGATGATCAGACAAGCACCTTTAATTGTGCCGTTGACACCTACGAAGTCAAGTTTTGCTAAACATTCGATATCTATCTAATACTCTAGAGTGTAGCATCCCCGTTTATCTTACTCATAAATGATTGTAATCATGTTACTAAGCTGATTTCTACTTTAATGTTGACATGCGACTATATTGTGCTATGCCTTGAAGCTGTCCTTGCCAAAGAATGTTCTAAAGCCACTTGGCGATGTTGGTGATGGTCTTCTTCGTCTCGATGGATATCAACTTTTTGCTTATGGATATCGCTTTCTTGTTCTTCAGCTTGCTTTGATGCAATGTTTTGTCTCCATCGCTGTCCAAATAGCATGCATATGATAATCATTGCAATGTTGAGCACATTGATTGCTGCAAGAATAGTAAACAAGATACCAGGTCCAAGTGAATGAACGGCTTGGGTTGAAAAGATAGCCATGATAGCACCAGCAATCGAACGAGCACAATTGTTAACACCAATAGCAGTGGCTGATCTTCCAGGCTGAGAGTCAACAAGGTAAACATTGGCAGGCGTGAATGCTGACATTTGCCCAAAGGCATCTAAAACCATGGATGAGGAACCACGTTCATGCAAATGCCATGTAACACAAATAAAGTACTTACAAACGAAAAGCCCAATGATCGGTGCATACACCCCAATGCCATATTCAAGGGTCCATCCATAAATGAGATACCCTGCAGGAATCAACAAAAAGGATGGAATGGCTGCACGTAGTCGCATCTCAGGTACCACTTGACCATTGCTTTTACTCCGTAAATGCTGAAGCATCCAATCTGATACTTGACCAGCAAGGATTGATCCAACACAAAGCCCAACACCAAATGCGAGATACACAAGCCCCACTTGCCATTGATTGTATCCATACAATCTTTGGAATGTATCAGTGATGGTAGGATTCTAAAAAACAACGCCCTCATTGGTGAGCTCAACGCATGTAATCTCTTCTTGTTGACGTACCAAAATGTACAAACACGCAAAGATCACAGTGCTGTAAATGGTAATGACCAAGATAGTTGGATCGTGCAGCATGACGAGTAGCGGCACGAATGCTTGAAAGAAGTTTTTGACATGATTTGGGGATCGTTGCTGATCGTTTTGGCTTTTGTCCTTTCTCAATGTTTCTGGAAGGAATACAGCAACCAGTATAAAAAGGAGACCACCTAGAGAATGCCACACCGCAAATTAAGTATGTGCCATTTACTATCCTCGAATGACATACCTAGGGCAGCTAAAAAGTAAAATGTGGATTGCCATCCATAAAACTGAGAGAGGGCACCACCGATCGTTGGGCCTGAGTTTTTGGTGTAACATCAGCGGATCACAGAAACGAAATGCATCTGACAAGTCATATTCCCACAACTCACCAATGACCGGCCCCAGCAGAGGCCCAATGTAAAAGTATCCATATGCTCTTCCACGCTGTTTCATTGGGATTGTATCAGCAATGACACCGGCACCTATAGCAATCATTGTTGACTTATAGCCATCACCCTACTACAAGCACCATGTAAATCTCTTTACCTAGTGTTTGACTTGCGCATAGTCCAGCAGCTTGTATAGCTCGAAATACAATCAACATAGCAACGTTAATAGAGAAGGCACTTATGATTGATGCGATAATGCCGATAACGGTGCTTGCGAGGTACATGCGTTTTCTTCCATAAAAGTCGCTCAATGTTGCCCAAATCAGTGGCTAGGAGGTATCAACAACGTATCAGCTATTGTTATGCATGAATCTTTATTGCTCATTCCTTACTTACAGCTACGCCCATGAATACCACATAGGCTGATACAGTGCCATTGACTGCCTCTGAACTTGTGTGAAGATCATCGGCTACTGCCAGCAAGGCCGGCATATAGATCATGCTACCAAGTGGCCCTGTAACGGCACTCAATGCAACCACTGCAATGATGGCCTGCTTGCGACGCATTGTCAATTGCTGCGGATCATCCGAGCTGTATGGATCGCCGATAAAGTACTTGAGGCGTCTTTGGCTGATGTAATTACTTGTCTTTTCGCTTTTGGTCGTCGTTTCGGATTCACTCATTTCTTTTGTTCAGTGACAAAGGGAAAGGAAAAAAGACAAACAACCCGATTGAGAGAAAAATGGCGATTTAGGTCTATCAGCAGTGGTGTAACCCACTTTTTCAAAACACTCAACGGCAAGATTACCTTTCATTTAAATTGTATGGTGAGGGTGCTGCTCTCTTTTTGGATCACGAACATTCATCTGTGCTATCTGCAGATCACCGTTTAGTCGGATCAGCACATGGCATAGTATTACCGATCACGATATAGTCATTGGATGAGCATAGCCGAGATACGGATCAATGGCATGCGGGAAAAAGTTGCGCCTCAATGGGCCATGTTTTGGACCCACAATCGTTACCAAGGCAGTGGGTACCGCGGAAGGAATGGTTTGAAAAGCTATGTGTAATGCTATTCACTACGTGACAATGACAGCGTGTGGTATACATTAGAAGTGAGATACGCACATCGCCATGCTTCCACATGTCAAATAAAAAGGGCATTCTTCAAGATGATCGATTTGGGGGATTCGAATGTGTCACATTATCTTTGCATAGTAGTCGCTGTCAATTACACATAACGCATAGCCGAATTGAATGTCATTGTAAATGTTCATCCCATCACGGCCTGCATGAAATGTTATGCTTTGAGATGGTCCCGTGAAAGAACGTATGCAAATAGCTCTTTGATAGTAGTTTGATCATTGATCTTCCCTTCAAATGATCAAGTAGGCTATACAACAATGCAAGAGATCTTGTTTATTAATGTCATTGGTTGGTGTGTGATAAGTCAAGAGATCCCAGCAGAGACCACCTGCGTCATCTAGCGTCAGCAGCCGTGTTTGATTTTCCCGCCGATGGCCGATGCATTAATTTGAAGCCGCAAAAAACATGGCAGCATGCAACTCGTTTCTTTCCCACTTTTTCACCATGTGCTATCGTGTGACATGTAGCAAATGCGGTAAAACTACCTGGGCTGGTATGTAATGACCACTCATGCTTGAATACGACTCTTAATGACCCATCTTTATAGGCTGTGGCAAGCACATTGAACAAACATTGGCTGGACTCAGCGATGATCAGATATGCAAATGCGAGAGAGAAGACAAGAAATAAGCAATTGACAGCCATCCATCTTACCTTGCTTCATATGCTAAATGTACAACCTTGCCTCGCAAAGTATGATTAAAAGGAAATGCCGTGCATGGGTCAATGCATGCCAAGGGTTTGCCTGCATTGATCAGCGATCGGAGTGATGACATGTCAAAATGATGTTGAGTGTGGTGTCGTCGAGTAGAATCATCATTGTGTACAAAAAAAGAATCTTTGCATGCTATCCATGCATGCACTTGAAGATGTGGAAGGAGCAATTGTTGCTACGCTCGTTTTTAAGCTTACATTGAAAGATTGCATCATTTAAATCTGAGGGTCAAGGAGTGTATTGGATTGAATGCAAGTATAATCTAATCTAGCTATTGTAGCTAATTGGATTGGCATATCGTAAGTGCGTGCGTGTGCATGAAAGACGGTAGGGATACAAAAGAATAGGCAGGCTGATTTCTTGTACTCCGGCTTTTTTACCTTTATTACAAGCGCGACATGCTCCAAAGCAGACTAGATAAGGCACAAAGTTTGCATCCGCACATTGTTACCCAACTTGATCCGTTACCTGAACCGCAAGCGAATTGCTTCTTCGACGTCATCTATGAATTGCCAGCAAGCGTATTTGTTGACCCAAATCAACTAAGCAACTTGCCATCGTTCGAGCGTCATTGGGTGTTTGGAGAAACCGACCTTGAAGTACCTCTCGAACACGTCAAAGAAACACGGGGTAGCGTGGTGATTGTGCGTCAAAAGCCTACGGATATTGAACACGAGCTCGATCTTCCTATTCATTTGCGATATCAGCGACCATCCGACAATGATAGTTTTAGAGACATCAAGATTTCAGCTCCTCGAGTAGGATGGACATGTCCTTTGCAGCAGCGACAACAACACCCCGATGACCATGACAACGTTATCAACATCAGCAATAATTTGCCACCCATTCCAGAGGTTGCCATGATACCATCCCATCGTATGGATCCCACCCTGTACGAGTTTCATCCCTTGGAAAGCAATGAAACCATCCTCAAACTTCAAGTACCCGTGGGTAATACTCAGGATGCGAACATGGTGCAATGGGGAACAGCGTTATGTGTATTGGCATGTACAAGTTGGATCGGTTGGTCTGTATGGAGGAGTATTCAAAAAAGACGACGTTACGAAGCCAAAGGCAAACGGAGGAAATCAGAATAGAAGAGAAAACAAATAAAGTGGTTCATTGTTCGATTCCCATTTATGTTTCAGTGTGATGATGATGTGTGTATCCCAAGTATCCGGGTGAGACATGATAAGTACATATACGCGCTAATGTCATTTAGAGAAAGAAACAAAGAACAACTCAGCCCATATAGCGACCTCGTGGCCTTGGCACAAGTGCTTCGTTGTGGATGATATCCATTTTCGGCGACTCAAAATAGGTCGTGCTGGTTGATTGTGCACTTGTCCTAACTCTTCTTCCCGCAATATATATATATATACACACACACAATACACGCATATCCCTCTTTTGCATACAAACAGCTATCCACCACCAATATAGAACATGGTCAAGGTATATGCATTTATATACTCTCAATGGCTAATCGACACAAGGGATGAGTCACTAACTCTATACAACGAGTAGAAGCTTGGAAAGAAGGGCGAGAAGAAGGTCATCAAGGCTAGTCGCCCGGCAAGAGCCGATTGGAAAGAAGGCGTCAAGAAGAAACAAGTGGGCGTATCAGACATGACGCTTCTATCCAAGATTACCGACGAAGCTATCAACGACAACTTGATGAAGCGATGGCAGAATGGCGAAATCTATGCAAGTAGTCTACCACCATCATCTGTACATATGACTCCTCGGCTTACACACCTTGTAATAGACGTATATCGGCCATGTACTTATTAGTGTCAATCCTTTCCGAGATTTGGGTATCTACACTGACGCTGTGCTCTCGGGATATCGCGGCAAGAACTTGCTCGAAGTAAGGCAGCATGAGGAAGGGATATCAAGGGGATAAGGGGTTGTGAGATCTAACATATCGGTCGTTTAGATGCCTCCCCACGTTTTTGCGATCGCCGAGTCTGCATATCATCACATGAGCAGTTACAAAGAGAACCAATGTGTAATCATCAGGTAAGTAAGGATATCGATAAAGACCCGGTCATGTATTGACGTATACAATTTAGTGGTGAATCAGGTGCAGGAAAGACTGAAGCTGCCAAGCGAATCATGCAATACATTGCTGCTGTATCGGGTGGTGGTCAAAACTCGTCCATTCAAGAAATCAAGGAAATGGTGCTGGCAACCAATCCTCTTCTCGAAAGCTTTGGATGTGCCAAGACTCTGCGGAACAACAATTCCAGTCGCCATGTATGTTATGGTTTATGAGATGCTATGGAAGTTGGCTAAGCAAACCTTTTCTTTAATAGGGAAAATATCTTGAGATCCAATTCAATGGACAAGGCGAACCAGTGGGTGCTGTCATTACAAATTATCTATTGGAAAAGGTTAGGCATGATGGATTATCTCTTTTGGATGCGTACGGCTACTGACATTGCTATCCTTTAGGGACGTGTTGTTGGTCAAATCGAAAATGAGCGCAATTTCCACGTTTTCTATCAACTTACAAAGGCAGCACCTGAGGAGTATCAAAGTAAGTGGGATAGTTCGTAGCGATGATCCAATATTTTACTTATTGGAAACCATCTTAGGTGCATATGGTATCCAAGGCCCTGAGAGCTATCTTTACACGAGCCGTAGTGGATGTTTGGATGTGGATGGCATCAACGATGTTGCAGAGTATTCTGAAACCATTGTAAGTATCGCACAAACAGAAAAGGTGCCTTGTTTGCTAAGACATTTAGTAGAAAGCAATGGAAGTTGTTGGATTACAAAAGCATGAGCAAGACGAGATCTTCAAGATGCTTGCTGTTGTTCTTTGGTTGGGTAACCTCTTGTTCGTCGAGGATGATAGTGGCAATGCTGCAATCTCGGATCCAGATGGTGAGTATAGCTTGGGAATATATATGGCAGGAGACTGATTTCGTATGTAATAGTGGCCAACTTTATTGCCTATCTCTTGGAGGTGGATAGTGAAGCCCTTTCCAAGGCATTGACATCTCGTATCATGGAAACCACACGTGGTGGACGTCGAGGTAAGTACAAGGCTGGCAATTATATAGTATGTGTATCTAATTCTTGCTATAGGAAGTGTCTATGAAGTGCCATTGAATATTACACAGGCGACAGCAGTGCGTGATGCTTTGGCAAAGGCAATTTATGAGCGTCTTTTCGAGTGGATTGTTACACGTGTCAACTTGTCGCTTCAATCACGTGGCGGAGATCAATACGTTATCGGTGTCTTGGATATCTACGGTTTCGAGATTTTCGATGACAACAGCTTTGAGCAGCTTTGTATCAACTATGTCAATGAAAAGCTGCAACAAATCTTTATCGAATTGACACTCAAGGCTGAGCAAGAAGAATACGTTCGTGAACAAATCCAATGGACGCCCATCAAATTCTTCAACAACAAAGTCGTGTGTGATCTCATCGAAGAGAAGCGACCCCCTGGACTTTTTGCAGCCCTTAATGATGCATGTGCTACAGCTCACGCCGATTCTGGTGCGGCTGACAACTCTTTTGTGCAACGTCTCGGCTTTTTATCCAGCAATCAACATTTCGAGTCGCGTGGATCCAAGTTTTTGGTCCGCCATTATGCAGGTGATGTCTTGTACAACGTTGAAGGCATGACCGACAAAAACAAGGACGCTCTTTTGAAAGATTTGGTCGAACTTGCTGCTGCTTCATCCAACGAATTCATTTCTCGAACGCTCTTCCCTGAACGTCCTGATCCCAACTCGAGAAAGAGACCTCCCACTGCTGGTGATAAGATCAAGGCATCATGTAACGCTCTTGTCACAAAGCTCATGCAATGTCACCCAAGCTATATCCGTACCATCAAACCCAACGACAATCGCAGCTCTTCAGAATATGATCAGAAACGCGTGCTTCATCAGGTTAAATATTTGGGTCTTTGCGAGAACATTCGTGTGCGACGTGCTGGTTACGCCTATCGAACGGTATGTTTCATTTTACATCGTATGCATGCATGATGGGTGTTATATAGATACTTATTGTCATTGTTTATAGACCTTTGAAAAGTTCATTGAGCGCTTTTATTTATTGTGCCCATCTACTGGATATGCTGGCGAGTACATTTGGAATGGTGACGCCGTCAGTGGCGCGCTCGAGATTTTGAAGCATAACAACATCCCTGCTGATGAATGGCAAATGGGTACTTCCAAGGTCTTTATCCGTCATCCTGAAACTGTAAGTATAGGGTTACTTTGTTGATAGCCATGTAATAACGTTGCTATAGATCTTTGCCTTGGAAGGTTTGCGTGACAAATACTGGCACAACATGGCAACCCGTATCCAACGTGCATGGAGAGCCTATGTCAGGTACAAGCATGAATGTGCACGCAAAGTGCAACGTTTCTGGAGACAAAACAAATACAACATTGGCTACTTGCAAGCACGAGAGTATGGTCATCAGCTGTTGGGTGGTAATAAGGAACGTCGTCGATTCTCCCTTTTGAGTATGCGCAAGTTCACTGGTGACTACTTGGATGTTCGTGCTGGTAGTGGATTGGCAACCATGATTCGCAATTCCATGACTTTGCGAGGTAAGCAAGGTATAAGGAAGTAATGAAAGGCCATCGTGGGCTAACTTCATTATTAAATAGGTGGCGAGGAGGTTGTATTCAGTATGCGTGGTAGCATGTTGGTACCTAGAGCTATGCGATCAAGCGTTCCTAGTCCACGTACACTTGTCTTGGTAAATGATTATTATTGCTATGGGGATATTGATTCATCAGGCACACGCTAACATGAGGTTACTTTTAGACCAATCAAAACTTGCACATTCTGATGACCACCAAGAACGGCAAAATGATCACCATGGTTGATGAAAAGGTTATTTCTCTCAATGTTATCAACCGTGTCAGCACCTCGACATTGCGTGATGATTGGATTGTGTTGCATGTTGATTCTCCCGAAGGCGACACGATCTTGTCATGCTTCTTCAAGACTGAGCTTATGACCCACATGGCACAGCAAACGGGTGGACGTATCAAGATTGATGTTCAACCTCAAATCCAATATCGTAAGAAGGGCAACAAGCAAGTGACGATGAAGTTTGTCAAGGATGAAAAGGTGAAGCGAGATGATGTTTACAAGAGCCATGTGGTGAATGTTCCCTCTGGTGAACCAGCCAATAGCCGTAAGTCTATAAGTATACGTTAAGCATTGTTGACAGGTCATTCATGCATATCGTATTACAGAATCCTTCCCACCTTGTGCAACAAAACCTCGATTGACATCAACCAGCACACGAAAGACTGCTGCTAGAAAACCTGCCGCTGCTCGTTCAGCACCACGTCCTACACCTGCTGCTGCCAATCGACCTGTGTCTAATATCCAATCTAGTGCTCGTGCACCACCTCCACCACCAGCACCGCCAGCACCACCAGCACCTGCTGCAACACCTTCAGTGCCACAATTCAAAGCCATTTACCCCTTCCAATCACAAGAAGTTGGTGAAATTGCATTTGAGAAGGATGATATCCTTGAAATTCTTGAAAAGGATGAGAATGGATGGTGGCTCGCACGTAAGGATGGCAAGGAAGGATGGGTTCCTAGTAATTATTTGGAAGAGTATGTGGCTCCTAAGGCTACACCACCACCTCCACCACCACCAGCTCGTCGTCCAGCACCACCAGCACCACCCGTTGCATCCTCAGCAGAAACAAAACCACTTCCTCAACGCACAAGCATTTCACCACCTGCAACAACACCTGTTTCAGTGATGCCTGGTATGGCAGCTCCTCCTAACAGCAATGGTGTACCACCATGGAAAGCACAACTTGAAGCACGTAAAGCAGCAGCAGCAGCTGGCGGCGGTGGTAACAATGTACCTACACCTGCACCACGACCTACTTCATCCTCTGGTGGAGCTCCTGTTCCTGCAGCTCGTCGAGCACCACCTGTACCAGGACCCAAACCTGTTATACCAGCTAAACCAAGCTCAATGAGTAAACCTGTGGTTCCTGCAAGACCTGGTTCTGGTGCACCAACTCCTGCACCAAGAGCACCACCACGTCCAACATCCACCTCACCACCACCTTCCAATGCTGCCGCTTCTTTGGCTGATGCTGTAAGTTTATATTTACATTGACAAAAAGGAAGGTTATGTATTAACATGATCACATAATAGATCCGTGCAAGAAGACAACAACCTCAACCAGAGAGTGATGATGAATGGTAGAAGAAAAGATATATATTAAAAGAGCTTTAGATTGTCATCTACCACACCCTTTATTGTATGCGTTATATTATAAATCATCGAGCGACCATCTTGCATTATATTATCTTGTGTTGTTTACGAAGCGTTCTTTGCCACTGCAATAGCGATCCTAGTAGACGTAGCAATTTCCTTAGTTAATCGGAGTACTTCTAGTATTGACATAATCAGTATCTATTCCTTACATGATGGTGATTCTGATAGCGAGCAATACCTTGGTTTCAAGATCGGATATATGGATGAGTGGTTGTCCACTGGATGAGGCACCTCCACCACTGATACCAGCATTGAATGTTGCCAATGTGATGTATTTGGAAAACGTAAAAGTGGAATTTGCAAGCTTGGTAGACCATCTCAATTGGCCAGTGATCGGATCCAATGAATACAGCATTGTGTTACAGCCCACAAACAATGACGTATCGTCGATAAGAGTCATTGGAAACCCGAGTCTTCCTTCAGGGCAGTTGAATCGCCACAGCTGATCTCCCGTTTCAGTATCGAAAGCAAATACGCGACCCCAAGTTGCTGCCACCATTGTATGCTGACGAACATGGCTCTTTTCTTGTGTATCACCACCAGGAGACTTGGGATGGTTGACATTGACACCCACTTCGTTACAGAGCCAGCGTCGCTATTATTATGGAATAAAAGTAAATGGCATGCTATGTACATACGTTGATGTCGTTCTTCTTACAGGCATCTTTTGCTTCCAGAGCAGATCACTCGTTCGTATATCAATGCATGCAGCTCGTCCACGTCCTCCTATTAAGACCTTGTCTTGGTCCAGAAATGAAATGGAGATGATACCGCCACTCGAACCGATGGGCGATTTGGTATCCCAAAAGATCGATCCATCACGCTTGTCAACCGTAAACAACCTTGCAGTCGTTGCGCACACGAGGATGTTGCTGATATCAACTGAAGCATCGATTGGATCGATAGGATCTTTTTTCTTTTGTAGTAGGCAACAATACTTTGGCATCATTTATGTATGTAAAAGAGCAGTGTGCATGTGTGTGTGTGTGTGTGTATTAAACGAAATCAAGAAACAATGAAAAGGGAGTGAGTGTGTGGCGTGGATGTGGTCTTATGCAAAGCATGCTGAGCACCTCATGTTTTACAAGGACAAATAGGAAAGTGATGTGCACGATCGACCAAGTTTGGTACAACATGTGATGAAAGGTGGGTACATTGTTAACTAGCTGCGTTGTTCCATAAGCGCCTTGAGTTCTCGCTCTTTCTCAATCACTTGAGTGGTTGCTCTCTAAATAATAAAATGAGTCGTCATCGTCATTGTCATTGTTGTTGAATCAATATTTTACCTCGAGTGCATCCATTGCACGTTGATAAATGGTATCGTATTGCTGCATGATACTTTGTGGATCAATCGACCGCAGCATATCCATCCTCCTAAAACAGGAAAGGGTGAGGCGATGAAAAACCCACTAATGTGCTGCTTCTTTGTATATATACCTGGGATCCTGTGCTACGCTGGGAATAAAGTGCTGATAGGCCAAAGTACTCTCATTCATGTTGACAATTTGCAATGGTATCCTTGTCCTTCATCGCATGATTAATCATCCATTCGCCTTTGATCCATCCCTCTCTCTCCCTCTCATCAACCTACTTTGTTGTATTCCAAAATGTGATATCGTGGGCGTGTGTGGAAGCATCATTTTCCTCGACCAGTGATGCTGTAATGATAGCCATGCACTCCAAATTAGGCACCACCTCTTGCAAGCCCTGCATAAGGATTTGTTCACGGATCGAAAGTGTCATGACTGTCTCCCTTCGAAATCGAAAATAGCCAACCACTTGATGTATGTCTCGTACTTGTTCTTCAATAGCGTCTCGATTCACTTGGCCTTGGCTGTCATAAAAACGATTTTGACAAATGGTGTATCCTTGTATCACTGTTTCATGATGCAGACTCGCCTTTTAGCCGAGATCCATACCCACTATCTCCCTTCTCTCCTTATGCTCACCAATAAATCGTTCGGTGGTATCGTCAGTCTGATCGCTATGGTCATCAATGGCACCTAATGTTCTTGTGGCTACAGTCCCCAACAGAAAGCCTTCCTAGTAATCGCAATCCCCACCATGACGACGTATTAGATCTACCAATCCAAAGACCTTGTTCAGCCGACATTACTCACCAGATCGGTATGTGAGTTAGCACATTCGTAAAACAAGGAGGAAAGAACGGCACCGCTTTGACGTACAAAATGTATCATAAATGTTGGAGGAGCAAGTGTACAGTATGGAGGAGGAGACAAGAAGGAAAAGGATACAAAGGATAGAGAGAAAGCCGAGAATTCTCCCCCACCCACACCACCTCCTCCCCTTATTAGATAGGTTGTCAAAAGTCATCTTTATGATATTAAAAAAAGGCATTGTGGAATAGTAGTGATTATACAAAAGAATTCATTTAAGGAGTGCGTTCGAGAGTAGCTTGTGTGCGTCCATTGGCAAGCTCACCAAGACCCAATTGCTTGTTCTCATAGTCATAGACCTGATAGAATTGATCAAGCAAAAGAGTACCAAGTGCCCATTCCTTGAACAACTTGTCAGCACCACGAAGAATCATGCTGTAGCACTTGTCACCCGACTTTTCAATCCACAATTTGGGTGGCAACGAGACCTTGTAAGTGCCAAAGTCAAATGTAAGATCGGGCAAGCTTTCCACCTTGGAGCATTCAATGCAATAACGGTGCTTAAAGATATCATAAAATGCTCCCATATGCAAATGCAAAAGATCGGCTTGGATCACAGGTGCCTTAATGTAGCGAGTGCCTGAAGCAAACTTGGCATACGAATGATGGGGCAAGTCATGGTCGTACTTGTCTCCCAAGGTAATGCCAGTGAGCGACGTACGCCAAAAGATCGATTGGCCTTCACAATCATCCTGAGATACAGGAAGTGGGAATAATGCAAGATCCCCCTTGTACAACGAGGGATCCACACCAAAGACCATGCGTGCAATAGGTACATCCCATCGTTTCTTGGAACTCCAGCTACCACCAGTGCCAGCCACACTGCCAGAATTTTGTCCAACATCTGTTATATATCAATTACGTTGAGTATGTGAGCACACATGGCATCTTAGTCTAATCTTACCACTGCCATCACGCTTCTCGTTTTTGCAGCCACAAGAATCTTCAGCTTGCTTTTGCACTTGGCTGGTAAGTTCTATGATATTACATGATAAGTTTGTTGTTGCGTTCTTTCTCGCATCTTTTGCATACCCTTCATGAGTTTGGCGGTATTTTCATCACCATAGCCAAAGTAACCAACTATAAAAGAATCGTGAGAATTGAATATCCATATATACAATCGCCGTTAATATACATACGGAAGCTTTCGCCATCAAAGCCATCCACATCGCCGGCAGCACCAAATGTGAAATGGCTCATATCGACATTCTCGAGACCCGTAACGGTGACATTATCCTATAATCATCAAGGATGCCTTTTAGCTTAAATGATGCTGTGATAAGGATTGATCGAACGCACCTGATACAAATCAGCTTCTACACAACGACCATCTTCATAAGTCTTTCTAGTATGATCGTTCAAGCTGACGCTGGAGTTCGAGATGCTGGGATCATAGCGGTTGTATTTCACACATGCTTCGTCATGGCACTGCATAAGATTAAAGGGCGTTTAGGTAAACATGTAGTTGCCTTATTCGCATTGTATGTACCTCGACGGATGGGATCCAAGTGAGATCTGAGCCGCTGTCGAATAAAACTCTAAATGTTTGGGGAGGAGTTCCTGGACAGCATGATAATCATCAGCTATCAAAGAAAAGCAAGGATACGATAACACTTACCAATTGACAAGGGGAGAACATACTTCGTTGATAATGCAAGAAAAAAAGTTGGTGAAAAGATCAATGGTGATAGGTTGAGATTTACCTGTCCATCAAATACTTCCATGTTGACGTGAGGAGGCGACGACGTTGTGGTCTTAGTGTTGGTAGTTGCCTCTACTCCACGCTTAGAAAGCGAAGAAGGTGCACCAAGGACAGCGCATGGGAAAGCCAACAAGGCAGCGGCAATCAAGGAACGCATTTTAAAAACAGGAAAGGATAGGAAAGGAGGGCGTAGAGAAAGAACAAAGGGCACCACCACCTATTGAGTGGCACTCTTTATATACGTTCAACGCCGGCTCTGCTGTGCGGCATGGACACAGATTGCCAAGTGTAACGTTGCTCATTGTCATATAACATCTCTTCGTTAAGGATCCCTTTTTGCATGATTGATTAGATGGATGCAGGGTTCTTATGGAGTACCTTTTCGCTCTTCAATTGATGATGACGGTCATAGAAGGACCATGGAGTTATAGATGGTTGTTTAGATACATGGTAGATCGTGAGTAGAAATTAAGTGATCTTCGACATGGATTATTCCTACGAATTCCTTGTATCACTTTATAGCTTGTGGATCGTGAAGTGTGACCACAAAAGGTTAGTGCTTAAAGGATGTTTTCAACATGATGTCTGCACCCAAGTCAAAAAAGCGTTTCATTTTTGAGACACCTTGCTTATGCAAAATGTTCACTGGTAGTAGAATGCATATGGAATCCTTCATTGGGGCATTGTTATGGGCACAATAACGCATATACTAATAGCTGACCCAAATCTCAAGGATAAGAAAAGGAACGGGTATCTGGGCCACGCTATGCCATCTTTGGCGCTGTGCACTGCCTGAGATTGTGTGGGCTGTGCAAATTTGTACTCCACGTTCGGTACTCAGGAACATGCCTGGGATACAATGTGGATCATGCATGTGACTAAATATTGTCAACCGTGTACCTTTATCCTCTCGCCAAACGCATGCTCTTTTGTATACAATCCTTGGGACTTTGATTCAATTGGGTGCTTTAATAATGATGCTATTCTACTAAACACTTCTCCTACTATCATCATTATCAACAAAATCAAGTAGATTATCCAACATACGCTATTGTACATGGTTATTTGTTGTGTTTTATTATCGAAAACGTGGATGTAGATACATTATTGCTTCTTCGGTGCTTTGGGCATCTTTTTCTTGTCGTCCAAGTTATTCAGATCTTCTTGTGTATAGTAATGAGGAGCAACTATGAGAAAATAGGTGAGCTGACATGTTGTTTAATATAGTATTGGCGTTGCAACTTACCATCAAGTAACCATTGTGGCTGTATTTCCAAGACCTGACGCATGTACTCTTTTGAAGTAAGCACGAGCTCGAAATAAATGAGCCATTTTGGCCGTTTCTCCAATAAGCTGCTGCTTGGATGGATATGTACAGTCTGGCTTTGTTTGATTGTGCGGTATGATTCACCCGATCGATTAAGCCTAGCAGCGTTGAAGAAGAAGCCTGATGTGATAGCTTTTTGTATAGGGACGACATCGGCAGGATTGGGATTGCTGACAAGTGGTACTTCGACACGATCAAGCAACTGCACCAATTGATCACGCACGTTGCGTACTCGATCCAAAGTTTTGTGTTGAATAAAGTTCTCATAGCACCATTGTATGGAATAATCAGTTTCCACCCATTGGTTCCAGATGTTGAGCAATGTCAGGTGATCACCTCCCGGCTTCACTAGGTTTTGATGTGCAGTGTCAGCAAGCAGCTTCTTGTCCTTGGGTCGATATAATAAAGAGCTTTGTTCTGAAAGCATAGCGCAAATGGAAACCACCTCTTCAGTGCACTCGTATTTTTCTGCTGCCACGATTGATTTGGATAATGTTGGATCCATAGGAAATTCAGCCATCCTTCGGCCCAATTTGGTCAACTGGCCACGGTCATTGAAAGCTCCCAACGCATACAATTGACTACATGCTCGAATCAAGGTATCTTCCACGGGTGGATCCAAAAAGTCAAAGTTGAGAATATCATCGATACCCAAGCTCTATAAAATACGATATTGATTAGTATTATGTTGCCTGGATACCATCAACAAAACATACCTTGAGTAATAACACAACGTTTGATAGGTTTACTCGTTGAATCTCAGGGGTGGTATTTTCATCCATTTCATTGTAAAAGGCCCATTGCGTATACAATCGGAAACACTTGCCAGGGCCTGTACGACCAGCACGACCAGCGCGCTGTGTTGCTGATGCGCGTGAACATGGGGTGACAGTAAGAGCCTCCATACCAGTACGAGGATTGAATGACTTTTGCTTAGCGTATCCTGGATCAATGACGTATGATACACCATCCACAGTGATTGATGTCTCGGCAATGTTGGTGGCCAAAATCACTTTACGTGCTCCTTCAGGGGTCGGTTCAAAGATTCTGGATTGCATCTCGGATGGCAAATTTGCATAAATGGGACAAACAATAAGTTCACCAATCTTGCTGCCCAACGTTTTACACGCCTGAGTCAATCCTTCTGCTGCAGCTTCAATTTCATCTTGGCCCTAAAGTCATACGTCAATACTGGAAATCAATGGGCATATCATTTAACACTTACAGTTAAGAAAACCAAAATGTCACCACGTCCTTGAGTCACATGAATAGTCAACACCTGTGTAATGGCTGCACGTAGATAATTGGCTTCAGGAGCCTTGGTATAGTAAATCTCAACCGGATAAGGTCGACCAGGGATGTTGAAAATGGGTGCATCATCAAAGAATTCGGAGAACTTTTGAGCATTCATCGTTGCGCTTGAAATCAAGAGCTTCAAATCAGGTCGAAAACGAGCAATATCCTACACATATCCCATATGAATAACCATAAGCTCATCCTCATCTATTTGCTACTTACCTTGATCAAGCCAAATAAAACATCCGTTGATAAAGTACGCTCGTGAGCCTCGTCGATGATCATGCAACTGTACGAAGCCAAGTCTGGTTCCGTCATGAATTCACGGAGAAGCATGCCATCTGTCATATACTTTACCACGGTCTTGTCAGTCGTACAATCTTCAAAACGGATACTATAGCCGACTTCGCCACCCAAATGAACGCCCATTTCTTCGGCGACACGTGCTGCCACACTCATTGCTGCTACACGTCGAGGTTGTGTGCATCCAATCTTCATTCCATTCTTTGTGTATCCCGCCTCATAAAGATATTGGGGTAATTGTGTCGTCTTTCCAGATCCCGTTTCACCAACAATCACCAGCACTTGAAAGTCGTTAATAGCCTGGATCAACTCGTCGCGATACTGATAGATTGGCAATGACTTTCGAGTCTCCTCAATAGAGCGAGCTTTACGTTCTGCTTCATCGATCCTTTCCATCAACTCGGCATCACCACCTTCATCCTCATTCAACTTGGCTGCCATGACAAAGTCGATTTTTTGATCCTCATCGAAAACGTAGTCATAGTCATCTTCCTCTGCTTCTCGCTCAGCTCTTCGTGCCGATTTCTGAATCTGCAATTGCTCCCACTGATCTTGCTCCGAAACGAATTGTTCATCCTCCTCATAACGCTTGTAGAGTGCACTCTCTTTCTTTTTGCGATCGATCTTGCCCTTCTCAGTGATATAATCTACAAGCACATTATTAGATGATTGCTTTCAGCATAGTACAAAGGAAAGAGTAATTACCTTCAGGCATCGTGTATCCATCCGTTTTGTTGTCAATCTGCATACGAGCTTCAGCAAGGGCAAGCACCTGCTTGTTGTATTCATGTTCTTGTCTCTCCCGCTTTGTCAACTTTTGATTCGCAAAAAGGAACTCTTCATCTTCAATCTTCTTTCTCAAAAGTTCAAGACGTTGTTGTTCACGCAATTTGAGATATTCTTGACGTGATCGATCTCGAAGTGATGGCAAGACTTCCTTTCGTGCATCTTTGTCGTCAGCCAAATTACGTCGTTTACGTGCCTCGCTGCCTTCTTTTGATGATCGATCCTCCACCATACGCTTGGTCTTTTCCATGTCCTTTTCCTTGATACGGTTGGCTAATGCATCACGTTCTGCAATATCTCGTAGACGCTCCAATTCCTCTTCATCAGGTTCATTTTCCTCCACATCATCTATGTAAAACCGAAAATGAATGAGTTAGCTCATATCTTGACAATGATATCCCATTCTCCTTACCTTTTTTGCGTTTTCTATTCCTTTTCTCAGTCGTTTTGATCTCTGTATCATCATCGCTTGCCCATGCACTCTCTTCCTTCTGCTTCTTTCGCAACTTCTTCTCTTTCTTCCTTAAGCGACGTTCCTCTTCCTCATTCAAAGCTGCTTCGTGTGGTGTTTCTTCCATGATGGTGCGAAACGACTCGTTGGCTTTTCGTAACCGAGCTGCTTCTTTCTCCTCACGTTTGCGTTGTGCTTTGGCTGCTGCTGCTGCGGCATTTAATGCTGCCTGCTTGTGTGGCACTCTTCCATATAACTCGTGTGCGAATCGTCGTGCTGTGTCATCTGCTGGAGCGCCTGCTGCTTGTAGAGATGTATATAACGCATCAGGGGATGACGCTTTCTTTGCTATAATAAAGCTGTATGAATAAAAAGAAAGGACTCACAAGGAACGAAAACGGTAACTTGACTTACCTGTGGCAATGATAAAGTCGACCATGGTGCTCTCGGACATGCCGAACAGCTATACAAACGAATGCTATTTAATATAGAGCGATCTTGAGCATGCTGTTGAGCTTACCTTGATTGTGTTGTCTGACACCCATTTGTTGAGATCCATCGTGTTGATCAAAAGCACTGGGAAGAAGGGTAGTTGGGTGCTGTCAGCCCGTCACGGCTATGGAAATCCTAATTCAGTGTCTCTGTCTCAGCGTACCTCACCACTCAAATTGTTCTCAGCAGGACATTGAATCAATACTTTGCATGACAACATCCTCAAGAGAACCTTCGGCTAGATACTTTCTTTTTGTTATCAAAATGATGTTTGAAGAATAAAGATATGGGTTGCGTCATAGTGGATACTAATTTCTCGTTCATTCGATTCATTGTTTGCAAGGTGTCGATTGTTGTTTCAGAGAGCCTAACACTTATTAATGCTTACGTTCATTATCTATATCTACTTCTTTCTTACCTGCTCATGTGCCATTGGGATCACCTCTCAATTTGAGGGAACCCGATATTACCGTACATTGTTGTTCTCTTTGCTAACTAATAAAGGCTTTAACCAATCATTTGGAACCAATTCAATAACAACAACATCACCATGGATATGATACCAAGCTAACGATAAAGGATCCAATTCTTTCAAACAACAGCAGCAATTAAAGAATCCAATACGTATCGTGGCTACGCTAGTACTCCGCAGCACAATCGATACCTCCGTTGATTATTATTATGCCGCCTCCTGGGATACCGATATATACATGGTCGCCATGGCAACCTATCCAATATCGCGCAATTCAAAGTTGCCCAATAATGGCATCGAGCTCCCATTTGATTAGGTGCCATCGAATCAAAGATAACTTTCACCATATATGGTAGATGCTGATGACAACAATGAATCAAATTGGCTCCATGGTTCATCAATCCTTTAGAAGGGGCTGGTACTGTAGTTGTGATAATAGTGGATCTGGACAAAAGGGTGAAAGGTCACGATAGCTATTAGTTCATGCATGGTTGTTTGTTTGCCCAATGCATCACACGTTTATACTTTTGCATGGAGGGTGTGCACGTGGATCATGTTGTGGCAGCAGCTGTCTGAGGCATGATTTTAAATGGTTAATGGGTATGTATGAACCATGAAGTTGAGCTTTGCATAAGATGTATGTGTTTATTTCATATGGGTCAGGTACGATTTGTGTGCACCAAAAAATCCATTGAACATTCTGGGGAATCTTTGGTGTGAGTGTGACTGGAGCCAATCGTGTAGTGCAAGGTAAATTTAGTGTCGGATGCTGCTATTTGTGTCCAGGGACCGAAAAGTTAACTGCTTTCTCCTTTTCTGCTTTCCTCTTTTCCTCATCCTTTTTTTCGCTTTTCGGCACTGTTTTTAACAATCAGCAATATGCATGTTCTTTCACATTTGCTATTGCTGTCCGGAAGCCTAATGGCCAGCAGCACAATGGCCCAACAACAACAACAGCAACAACAACCAATGTCCTCACGCGCTCAAGAGCTTGGCCTTAAGCAAACATGGTATGCCCCAATGGAAGATACCACCGATGTAGTTGGCTTTTTATCAAACAATTGGGGTGTCAACAACAACAACTTTTACGGCAATTCCGATGTATCTTTTGAATCGGATCCCATCACCAACAACGCCTCTCAAACTGTCATGTCAGTGTTGTATGCTGCTGGATCATATTCGCCAAGCGGTAAACATGCCAAGGATGGCAGCTTGGGAGGCGCTGAATTCAACGCAGCACCCTTTGGAGGCGCATCGTATGACAGCGCGCTATTGAGCTATGACCTTGCGTTTGCCGAAAACTTTAACTGGGTTCTCGGCGGAAAGTTACCAGGCATCTATGGAGGTATGTAAGGGAGCAAAGAATTCTATGTGACACAAATCCATTGCTGGGTTTATTAGATTTTGATGCCAATGTCATTGATTCCATCGTCCCCCATTATTTGATTAGGCGCCGATGACGAAGGCTGTTCAGGTGGTAACCAGGCTGATGGCTCCAACTGCTTTTCAATGCGTCTCATGTGGCGTGAAGGAGGTAGGTTTATTATTATATACGCTCTCCATTATGCTCTCTTTGTTCACTTTCATTGTTGTGCTGATGCTTTGTAGGTGGCGGTGAAGCCTATGCGTACCTTCCAGATAATAGTATTTGTGGCAAAAGCAACACTGTATGCAATGACGAATATGGTATCAGCTTTTCTCGCGGTGTTATCCGTTTCAAGACCAACGAATGGACCAAGCTGGAAATTTACGTTAAAATCAACAATGCAACCGAATCCAACGGCATCCTTCAAGTGTGGCAAGATGGCTCGTTGGTGATTAACCAGCAAACGCTAAAGTACAGAACAACCAATGCCATTGCAGCCACGAGTATCATGTTCAGCACTTTCTTTGGCGGAGGCGATACCAAGTACGCCACGTCTGTTGATACGTTCACCTACTACAAGAACATTGAGTTCAGCGTTGGCAATGAGGTTGAGCTTAGCGATAGCGCATCCGCTCGTGTCACGGTGACCTATTCACTTGCTGCGCTTGGTGCCGTTGCCGGCTTCTTTTTATTATTGTAGAGATGAGAAATCCCATTGCCCAACCTTCTCCTTTATTATACCAATGTATCCTCTACTATTATAACTTTACTACTTGTTGCAGAGAAAACATCTCTTAACTACTGCGATTCACATGTCATGTCTATAGCTAATTCTCTCGTGATGTCAATGGCATTCTCTTATCTTCCCACAGATATAAATAGTCATACACGTTTGTACAACTAGGCACTGGGCATTGATGTGAGACATTTTGATTTGGGTGTGTTGAGGGAGCGATTGATGGAAAAACAAATAAGCTTTCGGACATAAAGCAGCACGCGTGTGTCATTTGCGTGGCACATTCCTTGGATGGGCGTAATCAGTCTAAGACATATATAGCAGTTACTATGCACGAACAACAATGATCACGTCAAAACCCCCCTTCAATAGCACATGTTCCTCAAGTTATGCAAGACGTCTGAATCATCATAACCATGATCCGACCCATTTACCCGAGCAGGTGCTATACTCCCTACCGATCATTGTGCTGTAACAGAAACAATCCATAATAGTCAACACAGCCATATAGCTGAGATCGGATTCATCGTTGTGAAGAAAGATACGTTGGTAAATGAAAATGCGCAGCAGCTTGATCATGTTCACTTTTGTTATGGCTTTTTTTGATGTTTGGTCCCTTTGGCTATGATAGAGCAATGACTAAATATGAATCGAAGAGAGTGCTGCACCCATTGGATGATCTCAAGGCTTAGTTTTATAAAGGCGCGGCATACAAATCATATGATTTTCGAATACATGCATATAGCCAGTAATTTATGGCGTCTCTTTTTATTTATCAATCAAGCGTTTGGGATGAATGGAAGTAGCAGCTTCTTGTATTGGATTGGGGGGTAGCAATGTCATTGATAGTGGTGGATCACCTACCAAGCCTCCGCTTTGGGTGACAGCGTTTTTGGGAGGAGTAAGTTGAAGAAAAAGGGTTGATCAGTTTTTCGTTACCTTCTCGATTCACGATGCCACCTGCAAAGAAAAAGACAACGACAAACGCAACTGAAAAGAAGGCTGCACCAGCAAAGACAACTGGAAAGCGTGCTGCCAATGCTGACAACACCAATGTCGACACCAACAATGCCAAGATCGCCAAAAAGCAAAAGGTTGCCCAAAAGCCAGCAGCAGACGAGAAGAAGCCAGCAACCAAAAAGCAACAACCTGCTAAGGAGGAAAAGAAACCTGCAGCTAAGAAGCAACAACAACCTGTGAAAGAAGAGAAGAAGCCTGCAGCCAAAAAGCAACAACCAGCAAAGGAAGAGAAGAAGCCTGCAGCTAAGAAGCAACAACAACCAGCAGCAAAGGAAGAGAAGAAGCCTGCAGCTAAGAAACAACAACCAGCAGCAAAGGAAGAAAAGCAACCCGCCAACAAGAAGCAGCCTGCCAACACTAAGAAAGCTACTGTCCAGAAGCAAAAGGGTGGTGCAGTCGAGAAGAAGGCAGCTGCCAATAAGAAGACTGAATCCAAGCAATTGAAGAAGGCTGTTGAAAAGGCTGCTGAAGAATCGGATTCTGATGAGGAACAAGAGGATCAAGAAGATCAAGAAGAGTTGACCGAGGATCAAGAGGATGCTTTGCGTAAAGAAATCTTGGGCGATCTCGTCAGCAGTAGCGAAGATGAAGGTGCTGATAGCTCGGATGAGGAAAACGAGGATATTATTGCATTGGATGAAGAGGCATTGAAGAAGAGCAAAGAGGAAACCAAGGCACAGTTTGACAAAAAAGCAAAGAAGGTATGATCCATCCTTTTCATTGACGTACAAGGTACACTGATATTGATCCTTTCTTTAGGCTGACAAGAAGAAAGAAGATATCAAAACGGGTGTCGTTTACCTTGGCAGAATTCCCCATGGTTTCTATGAGGAGCAAATGCAAGGCTACTTTTCGCAATTTGGTGACGTGAAGCAGCTTCGCTTATCACGCAACAAGAAGACCGGTGCATCCAAGCATTACGCATTCATTGAATTTGAGTCTGAGGACGTTGCCAAGATTGTTGCTGAGACTATGGATAACTATCTCTTGTTCGGTAAATTACTTCAATGTAAGTACATTTGGTATGGTCATGAGGTGTATAGGACTACCAGCTCATTGGGTATATCAAATAGGCAAATATATACCACCCGAATCAGTGCACAGCAAACTCTTTGTGGGCGCCAACAAGGTCTTCAACACAAGAATCGCAAAGGTTGTTCAAAAGGACATGGTCAAGAAATTCAACGCAAAGAGAACCCCCGAAGAATACAAGAAGCGCGTAGAACGACTTGTGGCTCGTGAGGAGAAACGGCGGAAGGACATTGAAAAGGCTGGCATCAAATACTCTTTCCCTGGTTATGTGAGTGGATATCGCCGTTGACTTGATTGCTCAATACTGATACATGCATCATTTTGTTAGGCTGCCGAATGGGAAAAGAAACAAAAGGCATCATCTAAGTAGATACAATTCATATTTCATACTTCACTGCGTCAAAATACATCTTTAGATCATTTTACTGTAAGACAAGTCATTAAGGGATGGGTAGTAAGGGATTGAGTGGTGGGATGTGCAGCTGGTTGGAAAGTTTGATGCTCCAATAACCGGGTGCATGGTTAAAAGCAAGATGAGATTGGGGAGAAAAATGTCGACTCACCCATGCACCATAATTTTCGCATACTACTTCCTATACGTATTTAAGGAGTGACAGCTAAGGCATCAGCAGCTAATTTATCCACCTGTGTCCCTTGATCGATGCCATTGACTACACGTGGAAGGATGGGAGTTACTATGGCATCGATCATTTAAGTTATGCTACTCGCCAATGTTTCTCATACTCGCAGATCAAAGTCACCGTTTCAATGACATGTACACCGTGGATCGGAAGAGAAGTGATGCGCTGATATGAGGCACCATCATTGATGAGAGGCTATTGCTGTTGATTTAAAACTGGGCTGCTCATCCCTACCTACTCGACGATGTGATTCCTTATCGGGCAACGGCTAAAGTTATACATGGATGTCCGGTGACGCAGGATGAAACGTGCTGATCACTTTTAAGAGTTGCGAGGTACATCCATGCGACACACACTCCGTGGTAAAGTTTCTCCAGCCGTTTTTGTTTATGTTCAATAAGCGATATACAATATAAAGGCAGTTTGCGTGTATAAAATTCATTCGCATCTTCCCCTCCTTGTTTCAATGAGTGGCAATAAGAACGAGGAGCAGCCTTTCTTGCAAGTCAGGGATAATGACAATGCACCAAACACAAAAACATCCTCGTACAATACCATTTCTACAACGAGCCCCCCTTCAAAAAACAATCAAACCAGCAAAGATGATACCAACAAGGAACATCAGAATATTGAGCTTGGAAGTGTTAGTATCGGTATACTGACTCTATGGTAAGGACTCACAATTTGATGATGTAAACCTCGTCATTCTCAATTCAAAGTATTGTCATAGCCTTGCGGTGAGTGCTGCATTACCAACCTTGGATGTATCCATCTGCTTTACAATCATGAGCGAAATCGGCACAGAGTTTGAAAAGTAAGTCGATATTTCTTTTCATACATGTGGCAAATGTCCTGGTTTTGCATTATGGTAAACAAACAATGTGTGATCCATAGGGCGCATCTTGCTACTTGGATCCACAACTCTTATATTCTCGCATGCATGACCACTTTGCCGTTAGGTATGTTGGAGGTAATCTTTTAGAAAACCGATACAAGGGATGATTCATTGTACACGACATAGCTGGGAAATTGGCCGACCTTTTCGGCCGTAAACCTGTCCTCGTTGTGTTAACATTGCTATTCTTGCTCGGGTCTTATGGCTGTGGGATATCACAAAACCTTGCCCAGATTATAGTAGCAAGGGCTATAGCTGGTTTTGGTGGTGGTGGAGTGACACTCATGGCTAACGTCGTCATCCACGATGTCATTTCCATCGACAAACGCAGCCAATATCAATCATTTATCAGCATGGTGCAAACAGTAATGTATAGCCTGGATAGAGAAAAATGCATGATTACCATTAACACGGGACTTGTTTAGCTTGGTATTGCTGTTGGATCTCCTCTTGGCGGGTTTATCACTGACACATTTGGATGGCGATATTGCTTCAAGCTCAATATCATCCCCTTACTTTTCAATGCATACATCTACTTTTTTCGACTCAACAATTATCGCACGCCAAGCATGGTATCTAATGGGACCAAAATCATGGATCAGCTACGATCAATTGATTTTTTGGGCGTGATCCTCCTATCAGCAGCGAACTCTTTATTGGTCACCTCTTTCTTGTTTGGTGGCAACACTTATGAATGGGATGACCCATTGACCATTTGTTTGCTGATTGGGTCAGGTTTGGCATTCATTCTTTTTGGGCTTCACCAAGCATATGGAACACGACATCCTCTGATATCGCATACATTGGCCACCAATCGCAATGCGGTGGTAACTTGTGCTGGGATGATCTTCATGTGCATATGCGAGAGTGGATTGTCGTATTCACTTCCTCAATTTTTTATGGTAAGCATGATAATACTATAATGCATCAAATGGCTTTGGCTCAAAGTGCATCTTTTCTTATTAAAGGGGGTGCTGGGTTTTACTACTTCCGAGTCAGGTCTATGGACAATGGCAGAGGCGCTTATCGTCCCCGTGGGTTGTTTCACTGCTGGGCAATACATTCGACGCACCGGCTATTTCAAAAAGTTCGTGTTCGTCATTGGCGCTCTTTATGTTGTTGGGTGTGGATCGTCAAGCCAATGGATGATAAGAGCGTTGCCTTTCTTTGTCGGCATGTTCTTTGTCATCATCCAAGGTTTTAGTTATGGCGCCATTCTCGTTTCATTGTTCATGTCAGTTGCAAGAGATCTACCCGGATATGGTAAATGCGCCCATGTATGTATGTGGTTTAACATCTAGGCTGCTAATCAATCACTTTTAGAGATGGCATCAGCTATGTCAATTGCAGTCTTATTTCGTTATATGGGGTTTTCCCTCGGCCCTGCTTCAGTCGCTGCTATTGTACAAGGAAATCTCAAATCATTGCTTACCGAGAAAATCACAGGGTCTGATGCAGAGGAGGTTGTAATATTCCCACCACGAAAAATCAATGCAAGGTTACTCATTCTTCTTCCATAGCTCATCAAATTCATTCGGACATCCATACGAAAAACATATACATTATCGCCTGAGCTTCAAGAGATCGTGGCGGATGCGCTTGGCAAGTCGTTGCAAAAGGCCTTTTTCCTGATGACAGGCTCCATGTTGATTGCCACGTGTGTTTTCCTCCTATTGAAGAATATCAATCTCAAAGCTGCTGCTGCTGCCCAAAATTAAGAGAATGTCCTATTTATTCTTACATAAAGGATTGAGGATTGCTAACGGCCCAGATTGCTCGCTTCACTCGTAAACTTTTTGTTTCTTATTCAATGGCTTACCACTACACTAATAGAAAAATGATCGTACAATAAGCTTACTCGTGTACGCAACTACATTGCAGTCTCGTAGTATTCATCTTTACAGGAGCCTGCAACAAGCCTTTGTCATCATCCATATAGTGTGTACAATGAGACTATCTCTGTAGTAATAAACTACCCTTGAAAACAAACAACATCGTTGTCACCCTCACCCTTTCACACAAAGTACATCTCATATGTACCTGTACGATCACTTTTATCCTGATAGCCATATAATGGTTTTCATACGGGGCTATCATGACCTACCATAGGGGATATATCAATCATGCATTTCTCCACCAATAGGATTGATCCTTAAAGTCTGGCTCTGTTACACAAACACGTCCCTTTGTTCATTGTCAAGTAGCTGACCCTGATAGAGCCAAAGATGCAGAGGAGCCTATTTACGGAGCTGAGAAACGAGGATGGATCAATGCATGATGGATACATAAACTCAATTTCCAGTTCATGTTTTTGCCAGCTAACAGCCACTTCCTCCCATTCACCTTTGTTGCCCAATCCAATGCATGTGAACGATTGTCCTGCTCCAGCCCATCATCCCCATCTTTCAACTTTCATGATCCGAGAGGATTTGACTGAAAAACGCTCAAACACAGAAGTATCGCCCAATATGAGAAAAATCATTTTGCAAAGTTATTTGTAAACTGCCAGCTAATAGCCCATTCCTCCCATTCACCTTTGTTGCCCCAATCCAATGCATACGAACGATTGTCCTGCTCCAGCCTAGCATGCCCATCATTCAACTTTCTTGATCCGATGACATTTGACTGAAAAACGCTCAAACACAGAAACATCATCCAATATCAGAAGAATCAAATTGGTAAGTTATTCATAAACTACCAGCTAATAACCCATTCCTCCCATTCACCTTTGTTGCCCAAACCAATACATACGATCGATTGCCCTGCTCCAGCCCATCATTCCCATCATTTAACTTTCTTGATTCGAGGTAACCTGGTAGTAAAGGCAATGGCTGTTGTTGGATCATCATTATCATGTAAAGTGTAAAATGGCACACACCCTTTTGCTATACGTGAGGATCATTTCTTTTATTTGCGTGTACCTATTGCCTATCGTGAGGGTGATGATGATGATGGGTGGATGGTGTGTATAGGGGAAAGGGTAAGGGGGTAAGGCTGAGGGTAAAAGGGGGTAAGGTAAGGTAAGGTAAGGTAAGGTGGGGTAAGGTAGGGTAAGGTAAGGTGGGGTAAGGTAGGTAAGGTAAGGTAAGGTTAAACTTGGGGGACAGCAGCTCCACGACTTGGAGACAACGCTTCTCTTCTCTTTCTCCCTCCTCTGCTTTTATCCCCATTCAGGACATCTCGATCAAGGTAATGTATTATAAAAGAGTTCTGTTGCTGGTTTAATATAGTTCTGAACATGCATTGTCAGGGAGTGAGTGTGTCCAAGTGCCGAGGAATGAGCGTGGTTGGTGGTTGTTGGTTGCCATGGCGATATCGTTGCTTCCTCTTGTTCGTTGCTATTCCCGCTCTATGCTTGGTGTCAACAGGTACATTCAGAGTCCAATGTTGCAGCCGAATTGGTTCCATTGACGCGTCAGCTTGTATAGAGAGCAAGTTTGGTTTCAAGACGTTGGCTGGTTTGGCGTTTTGTTTCGGCTCAACTATACTACACCATGGTTTTCGGTTTCCAGTAACCAACAACAACGGGTCTTTGTGTATATGGAAAAGGCAAGTACAATGAAACAAACAATGAAAAGGGTGTTTATTGTGTGTGTGGTAATAATGAATTGAACAGGTTTCTTTGGTCAGGCAATGCAACTTGGGGCATCATCATCATCTCTTTGGGTTCAAGTCCCAGCCTGTATCAAGTGGTCGCTGCGTCGCTCTGCACTAGCCAAGCGTGCTGGAAAAGCTTCTTGGAACGCGTCCAGGGCTCTATAGGCCTGAGTTGAGTTGATGGGTCGATGACGATGGATTTTTGGAAGAGCATGGTCACCGTGTTGAGGTAAAAGGGGATTTGCAACAGCTTGTGAATGTGTTTAACCAACACGCTCTTCTCGTGATAGGCTCGTTCTTTCCCTTGAGGATTTCTTTTCATGAGGTGGGAAATGATTGGAAGGATTGGGGATCATTCTTTCTTTGGGGAGGATGAATGAGGACAACTATGAGCCTGGACTTCACCTAAGTGCGCCCTTCCTTGCCATGGATCGAACTGGCCTTGTGTGATTCGTGCAGTGCTTTCTCAAGAACAAGGGATTGCCCGACGTTACTCGTATGGTGGTGATTTGGTTTGTGAATTCCTTCTGCTTTGCTTTCTTCCTTTGAGAGGATCGCCTAACGGTACACCAAATCGTCATCATTCCCGGTATCAGATGGTCTAACTTGGCTGCTTTCTTATTTGTAGAGACGACCATTACGATGATTACCACATTCACATCAATGAAGATTACGATGATCACCTCATTCACAACAATGACAAAATGATAACGGCAACGAGATTCAAAAAAAAGCCTGCAAGATCCCATTCTTTTCAACTTGTGTATTTTTGGATGTTGGTGTGACGGATGAGATTGACGACTGGTGACGAGTACGAGTACGAATGATGACGGAGGATGACTACGACGATGGTGGTGGCAATGTACAGCAGCAAGATAGCTAGATGAAATAAAGCATTGTTTATTTATTGCACGCTTGTTGGAGGTTGCTGCTAGCTTGTGGATTACATACTATTGCTTCGAAGATGGAATAATAAAGGTGGTCCGGTTATCGGTCATGCAAGAAATACATGGCTTTTGTGATACAATAAGGAGGAGTGGGAAGTGGGATGAGCTTGAGAAGAGAAAAAGTGAAGAGATCTCTCCATTGAGTTTCAGGATGAGTGACTCCTCGTTCAATATTATGTATATGTATGCAGCTCGACTTTCTTCTACATGCAAATGTGATACATACCTTGACGCACCTTCATTATTGGATGCTGGTTTACTTACGTACCTTCACAAAAGGCAATCATCATCATCATCCATTTGTGTAGCAACCTGTCAAGGACGTGTCTGTGTAACCACCACGTGCGGTTTCACTCAGCTCTTCATCTTTCCGTTAATGCAGCCGACACCATCCACTAGGAAAAAGCAACTCCAGCACGCTTACAGCATAGGTAAAAACATAAAGACGCCTGTATCTCTAAACTTTACAATGAAACGTGGGGTTTTTATTAGAGCAATGTGCTCGGCTTGGCCAACAGCACCTTGTGTGCAAGTTTCACGTTCAATGTCGGAACCAGCCCAAAAAGTATTTTTTGGTCGTCGTCGTCGAAGAGGTCGACCCCCAGGTCCAGTTTGGCTGGTGGCGACATTGCGAAATCTGGGATTGGCAAGCTTGATCGTGAAACTTGCACCCAAGGTGCTGTTGGCCAAGCCGGGCACATTGCTCTAATAAAAACCCCACATTTCATTGTAAGTTTGGAGATAAGGCTGCTATGTTTGTAAGCGTGATGCTATATGAAGAATGGTCTTTGTTCATTTATCAAGTAGGTGGACCCTGGCAGAGCAAAAGACGCAGAAGGACCTCTTTGGGTAACTCGGCTAAAAGTCAGGACTTCAGGGGCGATGCATGAAAGGTAAGCAACCCTCACTTTTATGTCATACATTGGCAGCTAATAGCTCACTTTTATTGCATTCCCAACTTTTGTGCATTCTATTGTAAGTGGACGATGCTCCTGCTCCTGAACATTCATTTCCATGATTAAAGTAGGTTGATCCGAGCTGATTTGGTTGAGTTATGCTCACACAAGATTACATCGGTTGAGCTACATCAGTGACGCCGCTCTATGTCCAGAGTGATGTAAACTCTCTTTGACCGCAGCTCAGTCAAATCAGCTCGGATCAACCTACTTTAATCATGGAAATGAATGTCTGGAGGAGGAGCATCGTTCCATTATGACGGAATGCACAAAAGTTCGGAATTTACAAAAGTGGCTATTAGCAGCCAATGTATGGGCTATTGTCAATAGTATGCAATATCATCCTTCCATCCTTGCAGTCATGCAAAGTAGCTGAGCTACACAAAGAGGTCCCTCTGCATCTTTTGCTCTGCCAAGGTCCACCTACTTGACAATGAACAAAGACCACTCTTCATATAGCATCACGCTTACAAACATAAAGGTGACTGTATCTCCAAACTTTACAATGAAACGTGGGGTTTTGAATAGAGCAATGGGCTCGGCTTGGCCAACAGCACCTTGTGTGAAAGTTTCGCGTTCAACGTCGCAAACAGCCCAAAAATATTTTTTGGTCGTCGTCGTCGAAGAGGATGAGCCCCCAGATCCAGTTTGGCTGGTGGCGACATTGCGAATCTGGGATTGGCAAGCTTGATCGCAAAACTGGCACCCAAGGTGCAGTTGGCCAAGCCGAGCACATTGCTCTAATAAAAACCCCACGTTTGATTGTAATGTTCGGAGATACATGCACCTTTATGTTTGTAAGCGTGATGCTATATGAGAAGTGGTCTTTGTTCATTGCCAAGTAGCTAGACGCTGGAGAGCCAAAGATGCAGAAGGACCTCTTTGTGTAACTCAGCTAAAAAGTCAGGACTTCAGGGACAATGCATGAAAGGTACGCAACCCTCACTTTGATGTCATACATTGGCAGCTAATAGCCACTTTTGTGCATTCCCAACTTTTGTGCATTCTATTGTAGGTGGACGATGCTCCTGCTCTAGACATTCATTTCCATGATTAAAGTAGATTGATCCGAGCTGATTTGGTTGAGTTACGCTCACACAAGATTACATCGGTTGAGCTACATCGAGCGTGCTTTATGTCCAGAGTGATGTAATCTCTCTTTGACAGCAGCTCAGTCAAATCAGCTCGGATCAGCCTACTTTAATCATGGAAATGAATGTCTAGGGCAGGGGCATCGTTCCCATGCAGTGGATCTCGCAACAGTGATGATTGGATAAAAGTGGCCGTTAGCTAGCAATACATGCCTGTTCCTAGATGATCCATAAAGTAATTATACATTAACCCTTTCATTCATGCAAACGTAACTGTGTTACACAACACGACCCTCTGCATCTTTTGCTCATTGTAAAGTTTGGAGATACAGGCACGTTTATGTTTTACCTATGCTGTAAGCATGATGCTATATGAAGAGTGGTCTTTGTTTATTGTGAAGTAGCTAGACCCTGACAGAGCAAAAGATGCAGAGGGGTGTGTGTAACTTGAGTCATTCAGCACAGGCGATGCATGATTCTTGTACACTATTTAGGAATAGTTCAAAATGCCAGCTAACAGCCACTTCCTCCCATTCACCTTTGTTCCCCAATCCAATGCATGCGAACGATTGTCCTGCTCCAGCCGAGCATGCCCATCATTAAACTTTCTTGATCCGAGGGGTTTTGACTGAGAAACGCTCAAGCACAAAACATCATCCAATTTCACAAAAATCATTTTGCAAAGTTATTTGTAAACCTCCAGCTAGCAGCCCATTCCTCCCATTCTCCATTGTTGTCCAATCCAATGCATACGAACGATTGTCCTGCTCCAGCCCAGCATGCCCATCCTTCAACTTTCTTGATCCGAGAGGATTTGACTGAAAAACGCTCAAATACAAAACACCATCCAATTTCACAAAGATCATTTTGCAAAGTTATTTGTAAACTGCCAGCTAGCAGCCCATTCCTCCCATTCGCCATTGTTACCCAGCCCAATGCATGCGAACGATTCCCCTGCCCCAGACCATCATCTCCATCCTTCAACTTTCTTGATCCGAGGGGAGTTGACTGACAACGCTCAAACAAAGAAAGATCATCCAACAACAGAAACATCAAGTTAATTTCCACTTCTTCCACTCTCAGGTTTTTCACTCTTCTTCCCATTCTCATCTGTTGACCCATTCAAGTACAACTATCACCTGCGAACGATTGTCCTCCTTCAACCCATCATGTCGAACCACAATTGCCTTGAGTCGATTGTCTTTGACTGAATGACAAGTTCATGGCGTGTACACAGCCTTCTTGTCACTCTTCTACAACACACGAATCTCTTGACACAACACACGCTCTTGCACGTCTTTCTTCCACGATCAATCGTAACAGCATTCATTCCAGTAGTTGCCATTAGCGAGGTCTCTACTTCATTGTCTCGAACAGCGTTCTTTACTTGCAGCAGCTTGCTTTACAGCCTTTTCATGCGAACAACAGATACCCATTGGATAGAAGCAGCTTTGTTTACGTGTAGCAACGTGCTTCAATACATACAACAGCTTACTATGGATATGGATCTGAATACTTTATTGCTTTGATACATGGGAGGGAAGGATCTGGATGTGTACAACACGTGGAAAACGAGTGTATCCATTGTCAACTTGACCATTATGCCTGATGCCGTCATCCTGAACGACTGGCGCATCCAATGATCGCTACTCCATGAGCAACTATCATTCTTCCTTTGTGTAACCTGTAAGTCATGTACGACCAATATCATCAACTCCATGATTTGACACGCCATGCACATAATGCACCACCTCACCACCATCCATTCACCTTTGCACAATGCACGCCCAAAAGATAGGACTTTCCAATCGATGTATATCCCCCCATTTGAGCAACTGTACTTCTCAACCTTGTGTATCTCATGTTGTTGATGTTGGATTAAAGGGTTACTTTGCGAATATGACATTGTGTTGGCCAGCCTATGATGTAAGAGATCTTCCTCCTTCCTGAGTTCGATCTCATCGTGTTTGATGCTTGATGCATTGTATCTTAGAAACATTTATGCATGGTTGTACTAGAAAGATATCCACTTGTAGATGCTGCGATAAAGGAACAGAGAGGAAGTGAAAGGGCCGGATTGACTCATGGTGTTTTGAACAGAGATGTACTCGATAGTATAACACACCTCCCTCTTTTATGATTAGACCTTGTCAATAACGTCATAATACACGTTCCTTTTGTGTAAGATAGTCTTTTTATCAATATTGGGCGGGAGAAACATTGCATAATAGTATTGCTTTTTCTCATGTTGGAAGATGATAATTATTTGTACAGGAGGGAGATGGTCATGGATGATTTCAAGCTGTCAAATTCTAATGCACGGGCATGATTAATATGGTAAAACAGCCCAAAGAGGTGGATGTTGCTTACCTTGATCACAGCATCGGTATACTCAGTATTGGTAGCACGGCCACCAAGATCAGCAGTGAGGTGCTTGCCTTCAGCGATGGTCTTTAGAACGGCTTGCTCAATGTTGCGTGCGTGCTCTTCAAGATGCATATGACGCAACATCATGATAGCTGACAACAATAAGGCAGTTGGGTTGGCCTTATCTTGACCCTATAACAGCATGATGCATTAATTATCATTGCATCTATAAACAGTTATTGGTACACCTACTGCAATATCAGGTGCTGTGCCATGAACGGCTTCAAAGATGGATGCATCCTCGCCAATGTTGCCTGAAGGAGTAAGACCAAGGCCACCAATAAGGCCAGCACATAAATCGGAAAGAATATCACCATACAAGTTTGGCATAACCATGACAGTGTCAGCAAATTGGGTTGGGTCGGAAACAATCTAATAACCAAAATCCCATGTTCAGTCTTCCCGATAGCCGGAGATCACCGGAACTTTTGTTCCGCTGGCCACTCACGTGAAGACAAGCCGTATCCATTAGAATCTCTTCAAATTGAATATGCGGGAAATCCTTGGCCACTTGTCGACATGCTTGCAAGAAAAGACCATCGGCCATCTTCCTACACGTAGGGTTAATGTGATTGAAGCATAAACAAATATGGGTTGGCTTACATGATGTTTGCCTTGTGGACAGCTGTCACTTTATTGCGACCAATAGATTCAGCATAGCTAAATGCATATCGTGCAACACGCTCTGATGCATCCTTGGTGATCAATTTGATAGATTGAACAACACCATCAACAACCTTTGGGGTATGAATTAGATATCGCATGCATGTAGAGCTGTTGTTTGCAACATACCTCATGCTCGATACCAGAGTATTCGCCTTCCGTGTTTTCACGAATAAGAACGGTGTCGACATTGTCATAGGCAGTTTTGTATCCTTCAATCGAACGACAAGGACGCACATTGGCATACAAGTGGAAAGTACGTCGAAGCGTTAAATTCAATGATACGTGGCCCTTGCCAATGGGGGTTGCAAGTGGTCCTTTCAATGCCACAGTGCTTCTACGTACGCTCTCGACAGCAGCTTCAGGAATAGTGGTCTTGCCATCTTTGAGCGTGGGTGTTACATCCACTTCTTCCCAGTCAATAGGCACATTGGCAGCTGCAAAAATGCGTTTTACGGATGCAGAGATCTCAGGTCCAATACCATCACCAGGGATCATTGTGACAGTATAGTGTCCCTGTTTTGGTCAATGTGGGTGTTAACGTGCCATAATTCAACCAAAAGACGTCGAAATTACATACATTATCATTCATTTGGCCTTTGAATGTTTGAGTTACGGGAGTGGTAGTTGCGGATGGAGACATGATGTAATGAAGAAAAGCGAGAAGATAAAGGAGCGGGAAAATTGTGTGAGCGGGTTTATATAAGCTCGTCGCATGGCAACCAGCAGCGGATCAATGCGGGGAGATTGCAGAATAAACATTTAGGCAGCGAATCATATCATATCAAATCAAATCTGTTGTTGTATACAAAGCACACTGTGGAGATAGCTTTTTCTTTTATCTTTAAACAAGTTGACTATTTACAGGATTCTCTCCACCATACCAATGCCTTCCTTCTCGAGGAGCTCAATGATAGGCTCAGTGATGTCAGTGGTCATGGGAGCGACAACACCCTTGGCAGTGAGCTTGCCATCCAAAATAAGTTGAGTTGCGATACCACAAGGAACACCCACGGTCTTGGCCATAGCAGAGAAACCACCAGGGACACCAAAGTCGACAAGAGTGGAAGTACGGGTTTGACGGCTACCATCCTTAAGCTCAATCTCGAAACGGTGTTGCAAAAAGACCAAGTCGCGTTCGTTTTCCTCATATTGCATCTTTTCTTCGAGAGTGGCACAGAAGGTATCAAGCAAGTTACCACGGCGAGTGACCTTGGTGTTGGAGAAGAAACCAAGCCAGCGCATACCATCGATGATTTGATCCTTGCGGGGGTTGTTGGCAAGGTTGGTCTTTTGAATGATAGCAGCCTTGATAGCCTCTTCAGATACATCCGAGACACCCACAACCTTAGCAACAACTTCATTCCAAGCGATCTCAGGAGCAGATGCCAAAAGATGGGGTTGTTCCTCCTCACTCAAGAAACCAAGGATGAAGAGAGCCTTGGCAAGTTGACAGAAACCATCGTAACGCATGGTACCACGAAGGATAGTCTCAGCCTCAGGAATGTTGTAACGCTTGTCATAGGGAGTAGAATCACGGTTACCATAACCGACAAAGGCAAAACCAGGATAACCAGTGTTGAGGACACGAGCAGAGTCCATAAGCTCAACGCCAGAAACTTCAACGACCTAAACTCAAAACCTTAAGCCTCTCATTGTGGTACACGCCATCCCAAAGATGTGTATGTATGTATATTTACCTTGCCGTGTTCCAAGTACTTGGCAGTGTTCTTCAAAGCGAGAAGCACACCACGAGCAGACCAAGAGAACTTGTAGCCGAAGGGGTTGTTGGAGTTTTCAGGAGCTGGCAAACCACCACAGAAGGAAATGAATTCCTTGATCTATATTGAAAGATCCCACCTTTAGTGATCATTGTCATCCACATACAATAAAGCATTCATTGTTACCTTGCCACCTTCATTATGAACCTCGTTGATGGTCTTGACAGCGTACAAGTGATCAATACCAGGATCAAGACCAATCTCATTCATGACAGTGATACCAGCATCCTTGGCACTTTGATGGATCGAGTTAGATTATATGCGTGCTTCAATTTCTCGATCATGTAGCATCACTTACGCTTGATCGTATTCCATCATGGCGGGTGAGACATAAGAAGTGGTGACAACATTCTTCTTGTGCTTGCAAGCAGCCTTGATAACCTTGGCGTGGTAGATGTAAGGGATCAAACTAATCATGATGTATGTTAGCTCTACGTCCATAGGCATATCATTTAATCGCATTTGCATTACCTGATGACAATATCATGTTGGGCAACGAGATCCTCAATAGCTTGGTCGTTGTTGATGTCGCAGCTGACACCAGTGGCAGCACCAGGGTACTTGGCAGCAAGTGCTTGAGCGTTGGCTTCAGTACGGCTAGCTAATGACGTAAAGATAGGTTCGTGAGAAAATAGGTATAAGGGTATACGCGTCGAGCTGTCTTCTTGTTTAAACTTACCAATGGTCACCTTGTTCTCTGGGCGACGCGTAACGTATTTGACGAAAGGCTCGGCAACGAAGCCAGATCCAAGCAAGAGAATCTTCCTATAAGATGATATGAGTTTGATGATGTGTATAAACGACCTTGATCCTATACGTACTTTTCAGACATGATGAGATAGATAGAAGGGAAAGAGAAAGCGATGAGCAAGACACCTCTGAAATAATCATCAAAGATCGGAGATGAACCTTCCTTTTATGTAACTATCAAAGATGGTCTATTGTCATTGGATACGATCGCCAACTAAGTTGAAACGTTGTTGCATTACCGTGTGCTTGGTTTTTGACCCCACATAATAAAATGACTCATTTCACCCTCTATGCCGCAATGAGTACATGGAAATCTAGTGTCTTGACAACTGGAAAATGAAAATGGCGTCGTGATTGCGGTGGCTGTAGTGAAACTTGGGATTGTGTTCACCGATCGGAAAAGGTGGAGTGGTCAAACATGGCCTAGCGTTGGAAAATCAAATCTCCATCATTGCCTAGATTTGTCATATCACCGCTGTTGCTCATTCTCAATGTTGACCGCGTATATTTTAATGTCCTGACAAGTGAATAAAGCTATATCTAAAAGACATCCTAAATAGGTATAAAGATCGACTCTGCTGATCATGGCTATCAAAGATGAAATGGGTCATAAATCAGCCACATTTGAATGGTCATCGGTTTGAGCAACCAACAAAAACCAAAACGCGTGTGTGTGTGTGTAGCACATTAGAAAGTGCCTTGCACATCCGCGGATGCAGCCTCTGCAGACAAGAAAAGAAGATGCGTAGATGAATGAAAGATTAGGGGGAGATGGATGTGTGGGTGGGTGGGTGGGGGGAGAGCCTTGGTTAGACAAACACACACCATGTGTCATTAGAACACCAAGGCGGTGCCATTATCATGTAAGGTGCAGCCATTGCAATTAAAGCCGTGCATACTTGACACTACTACCCCTTTACTTCTAATTGTAAGGATTCCGAATAGTATATAATGTGCTTGGATACCTTTGTCAACAACGCCCTATCGGTGAAGCGGGGAATTTCCATATCATCATCATGCGGCTTGGATGGTGTTATGCCAAAACGAGGATATCTCAGTCCGCATACGAAATGATATGAGCATTGGCAAAGAATAAACACAGCAGCCAAAAGGGCTTATAGTGAAAACAACAACGACTTGAACACAAAACTTTAATGGGTATCAGGATTGAGCTAAGCAGCGCCCATCACGATCTTTTGCCGTATGATGTAACAAAGTGTCTCTTGGTAGAACAATCAAAACGCCTTCTTGTGGGTGAATAGTAATGAAAACGACAAGGCACAGTGAATCGAACATGGATGGATGCTGTGCATACGCCACTCGGATTCTGGGTATTGCTGCATGATGTATCGCCGTCCTGTGCATCAGATGCACGCGATGTGCTTTGTGTTTACATAAAGGCAGGTTAAAAAAAGAAGACTTTGACTTTGTATAAAAGGAAAAGGTGATCCAAGCCCATACATCTATTTCCAGATTGATATACCAAAGCACACAACGTCTCACACACAGCTGCGAACGAGGAAAAAAAAGAACGCTTTGCCCCGTTTCCTCTTTTTTTTTCTTTTCTGGTCCACCCAGTAATCTTTCATATCGTGCGTTTGCCGCTTTTTTTAATCTCTTGGTTCGCGCGTGCACGTTTTGTTCCTTTTCTTTTCTCGCGTTTTCTTTTTGTGCGTGCTTGTCGTGTTGCTGGTGGTGGATGGTGCTTGCCAACTTTCACTTTTCATGTACCCAATGCTCACAGCTCGGCCCTACTTCGGGCAACATGACTCTTTTAATAGTTTATGCAACACGATTATTATGCAGCGATTGTTTCTTGGCTCACGATTCATTCTAATACTTGCACTATTTGTTTCAACTACTATGGCTCAGCACCAAGTCATCCCTGGTGCAACAATGAACGCTTCATCATTATTCGGCTTACCACGCTTCGATCATTGTGCCCTGTCCTTTAACAATACCCTCTACATCTTTGGCGGTCACCTCAATAATGGAACGGTCGCATTGCAATTCGCATCATCCATTACATCTCAGCCACCGATATACAGGCCGATATACACAGATAAGGCATGGCTATGGCACGATATCATGGAGGGTGGCGGCTGTGCTGTCACAAGTTATGGTCAGGTGATTATGTTGCCGCCTCAAAAACCTTGTGCCATTCTCAATTTGGATACACTGCAACCTACCGCTTTTACGAGGGTAACTGGATCACCCGTGGCATTGGATTCATTCGGCAACAATAGCAATATCAATTCCTCCTTTATTGAATCGCCACCACGACCACGACGTCAAATGGCTAGCACTATGTGGAATGACATGCTCGTGGTTTTCGGTGGCCTCGTATACGATAATACAACAATAGAGCCAACTACTACTAGAACAACGACCAATTGGACCTTATCACAAGCAACCTTTGTACTTGATGCACGAATACAATCGCAATGGATATGGTACGAGGTTCCTATAGTGCTTGGTAACACACCACCTACGGGCACCAATGCTGTGATGGTGAGCACACAAAGGTGGATTTTATTGTTCTCGATTGTGCCGGCATACAGCTCAAATCAGCAAGATACAACAACATCATCACCGACACATTACAACGTATCCGTATACTGCTTCGATCCTTATGTGTACATGTGGACAGGCAAGGTTGTCGAATTCATAAGTCAAACCGATACCATCAAGGCTGAATCCATGGTTACTACCAATAACAGTGATTCGGTACTCGTTGTTCCCGCTTACTCAAGTAACAATGGCAGCAATGATGTACCATTATCGCTTTCACGTATTGCTTTATTGGAGTCGTATGGATTGTGGCGATTAGAAATGTCCACCAGTGAAGCAACAGGCACCATCCATTGGATCCCTCCATCTCGTTTAGGTCCATTTAGGCCTATGATGGGTGGATCAGTGACCAAGGTGAGCCATGATTTGATTGTTCTTTATGGTGGTATACCTTTTAGCCACGACAGCTTCCGTTTTTGGAATTCATCTTCGTTGTCGTTCTTGGATGCTCGTTGGTGGAGCGAGATACAGTGGCATCCTAACCGCACCACCCCAACCACTTCATCGGCTAACGATCACCAAGGTGTGTCAAATCACAAATTAGCTATCATTCTTGGCACTGTGCTGGGGTTTGTGGCCCTCGTGATGATCATTTTTGTTTGTTATTGGTGTTGTTATCGCCGTCGGCGTCGTGAGCAACCAGATGCAGCACACAATCATGCACCTCGGTCACCAATGGTTGAGGACCACACTACACAAATGCCGAATCGACATCTTACAGTAACCCCAGATCAAGTTGCCACAGCATGGGCCACTCAACTTAAAAGAGCCCTTTCCAATGTCGGTCGTCAATCATCGTTTACAAAACAACGTAGACAATCATCATCTTTACAACCATCACCAGCCAATGTACCATCATCATCTCAATCACCACCACCACCTCCTCCTCCATCATCCGGTGCAACACCTCGTATCCATGACAACGATGATGAGGTGGATTATGAACGACAACGACAAATTCGTGAAGCGAGTAGATTTAATGAGCATTTTGATTTGATGGCTCCAACCGATACAAACATGTTGGATCGAGTGTCAGAGGAAGAGCAAGTTGGTAGTAGTAATAGTAGTAGTGGTGATCCGGGAGCATCAACATCGACGACCGATCAAAGAGGTGAACAAGTACGCACCACCACCACCACCACGTGAGGAGATTCATTGCATCACAACAAACACTACTTGGCATTTGTACTTTAATACGCATATTAGCATCGTGTATATCTATTTATCCAGACCATAGCATCATTTCAAACTAATGTATAAACTTTTACCTTGAGCCATGTACCTTGTATTTTGTGTTGCCATGCGCACCTGAAGAGTTGGTAGGTCCGCTATTAGATTTGACTGGCCAAGGCCGTGCCACGCTCTTGCAATACCCTTTCCACTCATCACCCCCATTGTCACCACACGCACCATCCACAATGTCTGCTCTTGTAAGTCCATGGCTGAGAATAGACCACCAATGCAACAATCGAGAAGAACAGTATTCTAAAGACGCGACTTAGGATGACTGGAATGCTGCCAAGCCTTTAAGTGCCCCTATCCCTCCAAGCTTATACCCATTGCTCGCTTACATATTCCTTTCGGCCGGCTTATTTATGGGTGGTATGTTTGTCGTGTAAGTACTCTCGTCTTTGTGTGTGTGTGGATACGTGCATTTCAATAAGGGATACTTGACTCATCAACGCTGTTCACGCGCTCTTTATGCATCTTCATGGTTTACAGCCAAAGCAAGAACACTTCTCTCTTCAAGCAGCTTCAAACTTCTTTGGCAGCCTCCCTTTTCCTCGGATTTGGAGCAGTTTTCACATCCATATCAGTGGGCGTTTATGTTTAATCTTTTGTATGAGGCAATAAAGGACAATGTGATGCATACAAATAGTGTAAAAGGAGATTTAGAAGGATGTCTGTACACTGCTTAGGAGAGCATAATGGAACAATGGATGGTATCCTATAATAGAAAACAATGGCATTTTCCATCACGTGGGTTTATAGCTATAGATCTTTTATTCTTTTTGTATATCCATGCGACTACTATAACATTTGAATTGAATAAAGGGGTTATAGAACTTCATCTGGTTGCAATCTCTCCATTCATCACACAAAAAATGATCCAAAGCACGGAGATTGACACGGCTCTTTGACCTATTTTCAGTTTCAGTTCAAGAGCTGTCACTTGACACTGCCTCTTTTTCTTTGTCTTCCTGACTCAACTTGAAGCGACGGCTACCACCTGATCTCGCAGCTTCGACTTGATTCACACACGACATTATACGACATGGATGCGCCAATTGACGTCCTCAAGATTGAGCACAATGTTGTGACCAAAGAACTCGCTCGTTTTCGACCTTGCGATCCAGAAACGCGTTGCTACTTTTGCCGTGAATGGGCTCAATTCATTTATAAAAAGCACCTGGCATGGACCGGCAAATCGCAACCTGATCCATCACAGTCCAAGGGCAATGCGAGTGGAGATTGTGTATTGCACGCCGGCCGTTTCAGCATCAAGCTGCCAAAGTTTTCCGAAGTCCAGCAACCTTCCAGCAAACAACGACAAAAAGAACGATCCACCAAGCTGTTTGATGACTTTAAGAAGCAGTTGGACACTAAGAACGGTGATTTGCCTGGTGATTTGACAGTTCAAGTGGTTGATATGTGTGAAAAGTGGATCGATCAGCCTAGCAGCTTGGTTGCATTGCCTGCCCTCTTTGAACCTGTTGAATTTGATGCATACGACGAATCATTGTCGACTACGAGTGAGCCAAAGGAGCCAGCACGTTTATTGGATCCACTTGAAATCGAACGTCAGCATGTCATTTTGCCATCCAAAGGATTTCATCTACTCAAGAACTTGACAGGCGACATTTTGCTTTCACACAAAGAACCGGCTTGTGAACATATGCGACCTGAATGGAAGTCACCCAGTGATTTGGAGGTGGATCGTAACATTTTCAATGAGAAGATGGCTCGTGAAGTCAAAGCTGTGATGGTCGAAGTGGAACAAGCATTGCATGAATCGTGGCGCCATTTGACGAGCTTTATTACTCAAGTCAAGGCTTTGGATAAGGAAAGGAACACATTGATGGGAAAGGATTGCCAAAAGAACATCGACTACTTTGCTCAAAAGCAGTCTTTGCCATCTTTTCAGGAGTACTGGACCAGTCAAGGAGATTTCAAAAAGAAGCGTGCGGATATGGCGACTGTGGATGCGGCTTTCATTGGCTTCTTTGATTTACTCGAATCCAAGGTCAAGGAGTTTCAGACATCCTTTGTTCATACACGTCTCGATGCTGTTTGTACGCTTATCCAGAAGCTATGGGATTTGGTGGTGCCTGCAATTCAACAAATGGCCGAACGTATGGCTTCTTTCGAAGTCAAGAATGACGCTTATATGGAAAGCTGCACTGCTCTTTCAAAATCGCTTGACACCCTCCACCCAATTGATGATGTACGTTCGGCTGTCGACACTGTGAGACAAGAAGTGGATACGAGAATTGCCGAGTATTTGCAGGAGATTGAAGCTTTGGAGAAGACATACAAAGAGGAATCTCGCCCCAATGTCGCTGGTCGACTAGACAAGGTCAACAATAAGGCATTCAAGAAACAACTCAAGAAGGTCGAGAGTGGATATTATTCGTTACGCCAAACTTTCCGCTACTTGCTCACTCAAAAGATATTTCCCGAATCGCTGTTTTGCAAGTTCAGTTTATTTTGTATGGAGGCATTGATGCAAGAGGGTGAATTGATGGAAGCCATGACGATTGAGAGGGAGATCAAGAGGTTTTTGCAGTCTCATGAGGAAATGGTGGAGGAACGGCAATATCTATTCGAGGATTTTGAGGAAGGTGTGATAACCGGTCGCACTGAGCTTGCTGGAATTCTTGGTCGATTGTTCTTGAAAGAAGGAATGCGTATCCAAGGAGAGAATTTGGCCATGCAGCGTCAGAATACTTTGCTCAAATCGCTTGGTGTCCAAGTCGAGGATGAACAACAGGAATCACCATCGAGCAAGAAGAAGAAGAGCAAAAAGAAGAAGACGTCACCAGAGGAGCCACCATCACAATCGACTTCAACAAAGACTGAATCGATCCCATCACCAAAGGAGACAAAGGCCAAAGATGTGAAATCCACAAAATCAGCTGAGTCCAAAGCAAAGGTAATTATTAGGAATGGTTTATGAGATCATGATGTTGATACTTATATCCATATAATTAGAATGTTGAAGTTAAGCCTGCTCAAGTCAAAAAGACAAAGGTGGCTGATGCCAAACCAAAGGTAAATGACCAAAGAAAGATGCAGTGATACGTTGTAATTAACATTTATGGTATAAATAGGTTCCTGAAGTCAAGCCAGTTACACCAAAGGTCCCTGATACCAAAGTCACTGCTGCAAAGATCGCTGCCGCTGCCGCTGCCGCTGCTGCTGTACCTGCAATGGTGAACGATACCACCTCTGTCAAGACCAAGCCATCAGTACCTTCTCCTCCAGCAAAGAAGCCAACACCTTCTCCAGCAAAGCCATCAGTTGTATCTCCTCCCAAATCTACTACTCCCAAGAAGGATGATGAATGGCAAACGATGCCTGTTCGTTCGACATCGACTTCTCAAGCATCCACTAGTAACAATGCTACTTCCATCCCTGTTGAAAAGAAAAAGAAAGGTGATGATCCCTTATTGTTTGCCTTTTCATTGGATATTAATCCTTTTGTTTTCAATAGTCAAACCAGAAGAAGCCTTCCCTTCCTTATCTTCTCAACAAGGATCGACCTCTGATGTTGGTGGTTGGGGTCCAGTTGGGGAATCTTGGGCGAGCAAGATTGGTGAATCAAACGTGAACAAGTCTTCCACCACTAAGACCACCGACGCTGAACCAGCAAAGGATGATGAATGGACGACTATACCTTCGAGCACAACTACCACCACTACCACCACTACAGCTGCTAAGCAAGACGACAACAAAGCTATGCCATCACCTAGCAACAATCGATTGGATGCAAAGAAGACAAAGATGGTTACAAAGAGCCAACCAGAGCAAAAGAATGCGCCACCTGGATTGAAAGCAGCTGAGACCAAGAGCCAAGATGATGAATGGACAACAGTGCCATCCAGCAAGGCAATCAAGTCGAATGATTTAGCAACAGTGGTATCCACAACAAAGGAACAACCAAAGCCTGATACAAGTGCATCGAGCATTGAGCAATCCAATACTACTCAAGATAGATGGGGTACAAATGCGACATCGACTGCCACAGCTGATGGATGGGGTTCTTCTACAACGGGAGCTACAAGTGTGAAAAAGGAGGAAATCAACAATGATGGATGGGGTGCACCATCTACTGCCACAACTGCTAACGATAATGTGGATGGCTGGGGAGCACCTACAACAGCACCGATTCAATCCAGTGGATGGGGCAATGAAGATACGGCCACAAAGAATGATGGATGGGGAGCAACAAATGACAACAACGCAGCAGGTTGGGAAGCACCTACACCATCAAAATCGGATCAATTAGGTGGATGGGGTCAAGAACCTAAGGCACAAATCAATCAAGCAGCAGCAGCAGCAGCAGCACCTCAACCTACTCCATCAGCTGAATCCAATGGATGGGGTCAAGAACCTGCAAACAAGGGCAATGATGATGATGGATGGGGAAAGCCTGCACAATCCAGCGGTTGGGGAGCTACTTCAGGCAATGATGGTCTTGGTGGATGGGGCAATGTATCCACTACTGAAGGTGATTGGAGCAAGAAGCAGGAAGCAACAACCAAATCTTGGAATACATCAACATCGAATACTTGGGAACAAGAAGCATCCAAGATGAGTGAGGGTTGGAATAAGCCAGCAGCTAGCCAAGCCCCTGTGGGTCGAGCCAATGATTCTGATAATTGGAGACAACCGCAACAGCAACCACGTGAAAGATACAGCATCAGAAAGAATGATAGCCGACGCACAAGTGGAAACACTAATCGGGTTGATGACAATGCTCAACAACGTGGATGGAATAACAGCAACACGAATGATCGTTGGAATGACCAAAACAAGCATAAGCGATCTTCCTCGGGATGGAATCCAAACAATGGCAGCAGCAGTAATGATGACAATTGGAGGGCTAAGTCTTCGGTGGATGATATCAATAATGGATGGGGATCTTCATCGACAAGTACAACAACCATGCCTTCTGTATCGAATGCTGAAAAGGACAATGCTCCTGTGGATGTGGTCAACATTTCGATGAAAGACATCTTGCAACAATCCACAGCTACTTTGCCTCCTCCACCTACTCAACCTCCTGGTTTAATCAAGGATCCAATGTTGGGTGCTAGCAGTACTTTGTCCTCTCCTCTTGCAACTACCTCGCCAATGAATTTCCAAATGGCATCCGCAACCACCACAACCACCTCAGCCACGACTCCTCCACTTGTTCAAAAAGATGTTTTATCAGCAGATCAAATTCGCAACATGAGTCCCGAGAATATGATTGCTTTTGTACAAAACTTGCAGCAGGAGAACATGCGTTTGTTGCAACAACTTATCGCCGCTCAACAAGAAATGGCTCTGCAAACAACACGTTACAGCGAGATGATGACTATCTCTAGAGAACGGGAATCTCAAATGATGCAACTTTTCGAGGCTCGCAAGCAAACAGAGCTTGAGGAAGGTCGTCGTTACATTCTTTCTTTGGAAGCACATATCGGCAAACTCGAGAATCAGCTTAAAGCAGCAGCAGCAGCAGCTACTGGTGGTGGTGGAAATGGCATAGGCGGCGTGACAGCAGGTTTTGGTAACCAAGATCTCTTTGCCGGCTATCGTGAGGAAATGCGTTCCAACCAACAACATCGTGGACGACGCAACTATTACAACAAACCCGCCATCGTCCGTTGTGGCAACTGTGGTGGATCGGGTCATACCAGTGCAGAGTGTCAGGTAGGAGGAGGATACATCCATATAGCTACAATATGATTTTGGTATTCATCTTTTTTTTATCTTTAGAATGCTTGCCGCTATTGTGGATCAACCGAGCATTTGTCTGAAGCATGCCACGCAAACCAATGAACGCCAATATAGACGTATCAAAAATTCATAGCATCCTTGTACAATATAGTTTTATACTGCATCCTCCCTCCTCTCTCTCCTATCTCTCTCTCTCTTTCTCGTTCTCCATCGTGATGACATAAAAAATTGTACCAGTAGCCGTTTTGCTACATTTTACTATCATCCTCAATGATCCAAGTAAAAGAGTAACCATAGTTTATAGCTTCATTCAGAAGGAAGGCAGGTAAAGTTTCCGCAATGCACTTAAGCATAGGACAGCGTCTTCCAGACGCACAAGTTCATCATAGTGAAGCAAAGTTTAGGTTACATATGCACGTTGCTTGTGATCAAGCTGACTTTTTCTCCAACAAACCACGCCAATTTCCCAAAATTACTTTGTCACTACTGAAAAACTTTTCGCGTTGACCATCACTAGCGGATCAATTTCCTAATCGAGCATCAGCCAATCAAATCACACGATTGTCCTCGGGCCGACAAACCTTGGTTGACAGGTCATCTTGGCGGGTACCTCTTCCGATTGCTCAAATAGTACTACTTGCTTGTTCTTCATCGCATCATTTACTATCCTGCGATATCGATCATGTATGACATGCCTAAATAGTTTATTGTCCTCTCTCTTTGTGCAAGATTTGCATTCAATATTGCTGCTTTCATGAATCGTGGTTGTCCATATCAAATACGTATATAAAATGCAAAAGCCCATCTGCTACCCCTATCTATAATACTTGAATACCATCATCAAACATGAGGGATTGTGTATTCAATTTAGCAGTACTTAGGCTACCCTAATGCATGATGTAATAATACATCACATGTATTCCTCGCTTACAATGAACACGATCGAGTTTAAAGAACGTTTCACCTGACACGTGGATAATGAATGGAAATGCATTATTGCAAGAGAAGATACGCTTTATTTATTATTCTCGTAGATCATACAAAGATCAAGCAGTGATATACAACAAGCATCGGATTAACGAGGAGGTGGGGCTCTGCTATTTGTCTACAACGACTCGGTTGTTCCGCTCCTTTCTACAATGACACGTTTCAACGGTTGCATCGATCTCCATCACGGCCAAGTCAAACAAATTGTTGGTGGTTCCCTTAGCGATAAGGCACCCGAGGATCTCAAGACCAACTTTGTTTCAACGTAAATGCTGAGCAACACCTACGCATGTGGAACGATTCAATACTCAATGTTGGTTTACCAGGGAAACGCCAAAGCACTACGCTGAACTCTACAAGCGACACGATATTACACGTTGCCATGTTATCAAGTTGGGACCCAACAATGATGATGCTGCCAAGGAAGCGCTTAGTGGATGGCCCAACGGTCTTCAAGTGGGTGGTGGTATCACATCAGAGAATGCACAAACGTGGCTTGATTATGGTGCTTCCAAGGTTTGTGGGAATTCACTTTCACATATACCTCTCTTTTCCCCTACTCCTATAGCCAATGTGTGTGTGTGTATCACCATGGACCCTAAGCGAGATCATTTTATTAGGTGATTGTCACAAGTTACCTCTTCCCGGATGCCCGATTCTCAAAGGAACGTTTGGTGGATTTGTGTCAACGTGTAGGCAAGGAACGATTGGTGGTAGATGTCAGGTAATACAAAAAAGCCAACCTGGGATCATGGGAATATCAGTAACAAAAAGCCACACAGAGACTGATCAATGTATCACCTTTGTTAGTTGTCGTCGCCGTGATAACAAATGGGTTGTGGCTATGAACAAGTGGCAAACCATGACCGATATGGAGGTGAATCAAGGTGAGTAGGATGACAATTCGATATCAGGCGAGGATGATGATCTCACACACACACTCGCTCTCTCTCTATAGACACCTTGACAATGCTTTCGGAATATTGCAGGTAATGCAAACAAGCGGACGGGGTGTGTGTGGCTCGTGATCAAACGAGAAAAACTAATGGGCGGGAACACACGCATATAGCGAGTTTTTAATTCACGCAGCGGATGTTGAAGGCTTGTGCAAAGGCATTGATGAGGAATTGGTTCAAAGTAAGTGTCTTGTGCAATGCTTTTGCTGAGCATGTGACCCACCTTCTCTCTTGTTATACTTAGAACTTGGCGAATGGGTCAACATCCCAACGACGTATGCTGGTGGTGGAAGAAGTAAGTCGTATCGAAAATGATGGAAAAAAGTGAAAAGATGGGGGAATGAAAATACTAATGATTATTAGGCATAGATGATCTTGCTCTTGTTGAAAGATTATCAAAGGGCAAAGTGGATCTTACTTTCGGCAGGTACGTTTGCATATGATACATTTAACTTTGTGTCGGGATTGTTGTTTTGTGTTGCTCATGTGGATTCATCTTGTTGCATATAGTGCTTTGGACATTTTTGGAGGCGATGGAGTGACATTTGACGAGTGCGTGGCATGGAACAACGAGCATCAATGAGTCCCTCGTGTATGAGAGAAAAGCAAAAAATACCGGTGCAACATAGACAAATGGCACAGACTCCTTTTTTTCAATATCATCATAATAAAAGCGGACAACATACCCGGCACACGGACGAGGAGGTTAGCATGCGGATTATTCCTACCGAATGGGACACAGCCGATGATCTCTGTACTACTCACGGAGAAGCACTATTCTTGTCTATTCTTGTCATTACGTTGGGTGACACAAACCTGAAATGGTGATGTGAGCTTTTAAAGGGCAAGGATCAAAGATACAGCAAATGGGCTAAGCTGCATGATAAAGTTATGCAATACGCGTTGATATTCGATCGTGGTGGCGCACTATTCGGGCTGGGATCAAACATTGAAGATGAGCGACCTGAATATGAAGCGATGAAAGCAGCCAACAACGGATGCATACGATCGGAAGGCTACTCCAGCTACGTTACACTGTCAACTGCAAACCGATTGATCGATGCGCACTCTGTTATTCTTGTATTCTGAGAAGCGGGCCCAGCAACCTGGAACTTGTCAATTGCATTTATCATTTTCTGTTGCCCTTTTTCCTCTCTCTTTGACATTTCTTTCACTTTTTTTCTTTCTCGAATTCTTTCCCCATCCCGCTTCATTCTTTTATCAGCATTCTGTGATATCCTCTCTTTCAGCCAAAATACACCACGCATGACACCACGTTGCTTCTGGTCACTACTTGACTCGAATAGTCTCCAGTTTCTTTATATCTCATCCGCCGTTCCTCACAATGTTCAAACAACAATGATGTCGCAATCGCTTTTCACCTTGATGCATCCTGAAGAGGTGGATCTTGCTCGAAAGGACTTGGCCAAATTCATCGACAGCCAAGCATTTGGTGGATCAATCACAAGGTGAATACCATCAAACAATGAAACAAAACATAGGCTGCTTATGATGATGACGATGGATACAATGAGCCTGCAACCGAGTGACTGGAAAAGAAGAGGGAGATGGGCAAATGATGCATTTTTATTATGTGTATGTGGCAGGGGTCATTCGTGCATGGCATCTTGTATCTATCTATCCCATCCAGCAGCAGCAGCAGCATTCACACGATTGATTTTTATCATGAACTCTAATAGCATTTGAATTGTGATACAATTAGGTGTCGTTTGCGAAACGTGCTTATTCCCGACACAGCTTCTTTTGAGGTAACAATTTATGGAGTGTTTTGGGGGTTGGGGGGAGGGAGAGAGAGAGAGAGAAGGAGCGAAAGAACGAGAATGGGGGAGATGGATGTGTTTGTGTGCGCCGAATCAACCCACAACGCTTGAACTTGTCATTCACAAACTCACACGCACACATAGGTTGTTGTTGATCAGTGGATGGTCATGGATATCGTCATGTACATTATCGATCACCAAACCTTACTTGTTTTGTTTCATGTCGATAGGATGGATGATGAAGGTAACTGTTCTACCAATTCTTTGATCATAACAAGAGATGCTTCCAGAAGAGGCTTATTTTCTCACTGTGCATTGGCTTGTACCATGATAGGGTCTTCTCCTCTTCAACCATCAACCATGGCTCATACTACTACGACTACATGTGGCGAAACCCTTTTTCAAGAAACGGTATGCAACTTGGTTCTTTGTATCTTTCATGCGCTTGCTTACACCTTTCTTTTTTTAGAATGACGCCGAGGTTCTCAGGGCCATCCTTAACAGAGACTCGTATCCAAAAGACTGTGCTCCTCGCCGGGGCCTTTGCATTTTCAATAGTTGCACGAAAGCGGTGCTTCTTTCTTATCCTTATGCCTATCATGACGATGACAATGATGCCAGACTTTCAGCACTAAGTCGCTTGATCGGCAATGGATTTGATACGTCTTGTGTTCAGTGTTCGCGGCAAAAAACATATACACACAACAACTCTATTGGTGCCATTCAGCCGATCGACCACATTATTATTCCATATGGTCATATTACATTTACCATTAGCAACGACAGCAGCAGCAGCAGCAGCAACAGTAGCCACCACCACCCACAACAACACGTTGCAGCACAAAACAGCCTCGTGTATCCCCCCAACGAAATGACAGTGCAACAGCGCCCTCCTCTTGTACACACTTCTAGTGACCCCAGGTAAAGTTCTTCTTACACATATTGAGCTATCAGTGCGTTGTTATTGATTTCGTTTGTAGTAGCAATCGGTTACCCAGATTGCAAGATATAACCACATTGGCCCAAAGTTGCTTTATCGGGAGACATGGGTCCTCCTCCCCAGAAGTGGAGAATGAACATGGACGATCGATGATGATGATTGATGATGAGATGACAACCACTTCCACCATTGCTGCTTCCAACCATCCTCAAGTTAAGCATCGAGGTGATGATATTGATGAGTACTACAAACAACGAGTGATGGGATCCGGGCTGTGCCGACCGGCAATCTCGATTAATGCGGATGCGAATGATCGCGAATTGAGCCTCTTGTCACACAAAAATGCTTCGCATCCCATCAGACAGCGGCCTTTTGTCCCATACGCACGACGCAATAGTACTGCCATTACTACTACGACGAGTACAAGCACGAGGTATAGCCCACCACCCTCTCCACAACCACATGCAGCCTTTCGTGCTGGTGGTAATGATGGTAGTAGTAGCCCTTGGAATACCATGCAACAAAATCAACCACCACCACGATCACCATCATCGCCTTCTTCTATTAAACATCATAGCAACAATACCACACGTCGGTGTATTTCCTCACCACATATTGCTGCCCCACCAACCAAACCAATGGCAACCGTGAGGCGCAGGCACTCTTCTTCGGCAAAGACAAACTTTTGTACTAGCAGGTCCCAGCGCTATGCTTCCTCCTCTTCTTGTGCCGCATCGGTTTCACAGCATCACGTAAACCATTGTGAGAGTTGTGGCACAACTTCTAGTCCCGAATGGCGAAAGGGGCCTTCGGGTCACAAAACGTAATGAATCCTACATTATTTGCTGTACATTTTCGGTCATTACTAACCGCCATATTTGTTGTTGTTGTTGTTGTTGTGTATAGTTATTGCAACGCTTGTGGTCTCAGATATTGGCGGTCTGTAGCACGCAAAGAAAAGATGATGGCCCAACAACAAAAGGCGCGAAACGAACAACGAGCAGCTCACCACAATCATTACCACCAACAACAGCATCAGCTTTCACCTATCAGTGCAACCATTACCAATAGCACACCACCTTCACCATCCTCATCATGCTCATCCTCTTCACCACTTTCACCCGCATCACCCGCACCCATTATGGTTACAGCCAATGCCACAGCATCTGTCGCATATGCAGATAACAACAATAGACGTTATGATACAACATCATCATCTTCCACCACCACCACTACCACCAATATGCACCATCCTCATTTGCAACCAGCATGGGGATTGCACCCAAAAATCACCCACTAACATGTATACTGCCATTCGTTACTATATCGTTATACGCAACGGAACCATTCGATCATCATTTTCAACAACAACAACAACAACAACAAAAAAGCACCTCCACAATCTCTGTTTATAGTCCTTCTTATTATTCACCAACCCACACACACACACACACACACATGCAACTTGCATCGATGTATAAGCTATCTTACTCAAAATTGTATACACAACCACACATGTCCCTTATTGCCCTTTTGTTTTTCTTTCTTTCTTTCTTTCTTTCCCTTTGGATCAACTTTATAACCTTGTCAACAACAACATTGTATACCACACACCACCCACACACACTGCCTGTTTAAAATAAGACACTTGCACTCTTTTTCTCCTCCTAGCTCATCACTCCCATTTTCAATCCTTTTCTGAAAATACATATATACTGCTGCTGCTGGCAACATCTCATCCTCTTTAGTAGGCAGCATATCCATATTGAATAAATCAGCGCTGTTGTATGTGGTACAAATGATTGGGGGGGGGGTCTTTGTCTTGAGAGTAGCATTGGGAGTTTCTATAATGACACATATTTGTCATTGCCACGCTAGAGTAAGCCATAAATGCCTATCGGGAAAAATGACGATGGGGAGTAATCGGCCTAATAACAACGTGTGTGCGCACACGTACACACGTACACACACGCACAATTCCCAAACCACGGGTCCAAAGTTTGATGATGATAAAGGGAAGCAATCTGTGTGTATGTGTGTGTGCAACATGGATGTTTTAAAGGATATTGGATCATCACACATAATAACCACCACCACCTCCTTATTCTCCCACACGTCATGATACAACAACAATCAACACAAAGGGCACCACCAGAAAGCGATGGTAGTAGAATGCAATGGCTGAGATCGATAGTGAGAGGCGATGGCGGTATATTCTGGAAGAAACGATCGATTTAATACTTTGCGAAATATAGTAGGTGAAAAGATCTTGCATCAAGAAGCTGGGTCTGTGCGCCATCTCTTGCTCTCTCTTTCTCGATCCCCGTCTTGTTTAGTAACTTTTGGGTTTACACGGACTTTGAAAATAACCACCCTGTGTTGGGTGGAGGTATCGTCATTTTTGAACGATACACGTTTGAAAGTATGCCAAGAAACGAGAACACGGGTCATTGAGAAAATCAGGATTGCATGTGCTTCCCCATTAGATGGTGGAAAGAAGGGAATAAAACATGAGCGGGGCATTCATCGTTTGTATAGCAAAGAGCATGTTTGTCTGGTGGTACCTGGCCCCCCTTAGACTTTCTTTCTCCCGGTCCCGAGAAGAACCTTATAGACTTGTGTAAAAAATTGTTTCTCTTAGAATCAAGATTATTCTCATTATGGAATAAAACATACTTCTGATTTGGCATATACCTTGTTCGGCTAAAGCCAATGATGCTTGACAATCTTGGAATATCAACATCATCACATTCGGTTGTATCATGTCCTTTTGGTATTATCCTGTATCTCGCATCGATTGCGGGCACGTGTCGTCGTTTGATGGCATGTTGTAAAAATGACGATGGTATTTTTCCACACACATCCTATTCTAGCTGTTCCAAAGCTCGTCATTCTGCCGGCCAATTTTCATGCTTTGAGCTCCTCATTATGCCGATGATGGCTGACTTCCTGCATGCTACGTGGCCATGGGATTGGATCTTGCTGCTACCATCCAATATCGAAAGATTGTTATCATCATGAAAGGGAAGATCACAAAGAAAGTATTCCTTACATTGAGCGATGAGATGATATCATCATGAGCAAGTTGATCACCATTTGAAGGAACAGCTGCCATAAAGCGAGCATCGTCAATGTTGCTCATAGCCCTGAATATAGATCAAGTACTTTGTCCTTAACATGTTTTGGATGGTAAACAATGTTTTAAAGTATGAGAAGGGGAAGATTCTTTATCAATGCATGGTGCATGGTGCATGAAAATGGCATCCTGTTGTCCTGGAAACGTGCGCTGATTCGGTCTCCAAGACAACCATGCCACGCTTACTTAACAAGAATAGGCCAATAGGCCTGACAACAGGTCAGTGCCATACGTCCACCATATATGGACAATGTCAACACGCCAAGTAGTGAGATGCCTTCAAATCATAACACCTTTCAAAGACGTCGGGGATTCACGTTATGCTCACCAAACCGATATGCAAGGGTTGACCTCTTTTGAGCGATAGAAGCCTTTCACTATTCTTCCTCTTCTCTCTGACATGATCATACCCAAGGTCTATCAATTTGGTCCCCATGTTATTCCCGAATCGCAGGTGTTCTTCAAATCCAAGTTCTGCATTGGTCTTGTCAACCTGAAACCCATCACACCGTAGGTCCAACACACACGCATTCCTTTCCTCACCACCACCACTCACTCTCATACAACAGTGGACGTGCGTAAATAGACATGAAGATACATTTATTATCGCTATCGGGATCATTCAATAACCTATGAGTGTTTTATAACAGATATCCTTGTCGTATCTCGTCGCAATGTACCACGGGTCAAGGATTTGAATCCTGAAGAGGTAGGTGAGAGGGGTGTATAGATGTATAGCAACGATTATTGATTGGGGCAATCAGATAGCAGATATCATGATGAGTGCGCAAACCATTGGGAATGTTGTGGAGAAGCAATTTGGATGTACATCCTTGACGACTGTCATTCAAGATGGACCTCAAGCTGGTCAAACGGTAGGTAAAAAGACATACTTTATGATTCGTTTGCTTTCATTAACACATCTTTTATTAGGTTCCACACGTACATATGCATGTTATCCCCCGTAGGATGGGTGATTGGGCGAACAATGATGATATTTATGAAGAATTGGGAGGCAGGAGCAAGGTGCGAGTAGACAATGAAGAACGAGAACCACGATCTGCCGAAGAGATGAAAAAGGAAGCCGAATGGTTACGCACTTTTTTTCCAGACAATTTTAATGAGATGCCTTAAGGCTGTTCTTTTTTGATAAACATGGATTGTGGGAGTTCTGCACTAAGTGATGGTAATTGTTGTTGTTGTGATGACGATGACGATGATGGTGGTGCTGGTGGTGGTCGTGATTGGATGGATGATGATGATGGTCTATGGTTTTCATTCTTCATATTGGCTGAACAATCAAGTAAATATTGGCCAAGGAAAGCAAGAGGATCAGATGGTCTATGTATAACCACATTCATTATTAATTGATTGTACCATCCACAATGACACCTTTCTTACCGTTCAGTTACTACCAATTTCATGCCTTCTAAGAGCGTAGGTACCACATGTGCGTCCAAATAGGATCGTGGAGATTGACTATCACCTCGTCGTCGCTGTGCCTGTGGATCGTGGGATTGTGATGTAAAGCTGGATGATTCAGGTACATTGCCAGAGGAGGATGATGGTGGTGCTGGGGTTTGTTGCTGTGACATGGATGAATGCGGTGGTGGTGGTGGTGGTGCACGACTCGCTGGTGAGGATGGACCTCCTATAGGTGCCAACACGTTGTCCTATACAATAAACGATAAGCTTCTTGAATGAAAAGACAAGCCATATAGTCACCTCTTGTTTAACTGGTTGAGAAGCTGGCAATCGTACATTGGCAAGATGCGATTGCTGAGCCGGCAAATGGTCAGAGAAGCGTGCATTGCTACTACTGCTGCCTTGTGATGGGGGATAGTCTTTGGAGTCAATGGGAGGAAGTCGTCCAGCAGAGAAACTGCTTGATCGTTAGCATAATAGAAGCACGTAAAGAACACGACCTACTTTGAAGAATGGTTTGACATGAAAAAGAGATCAGGACAAAGGAAGAGTGGAGCACAAATTTGGATCGGGTTGCCTATTGCAGCATTAAGAGAAAGTCCACTCTACGCGATTTTCTACTTTCATCATCTTTGCTTGAAATCCCTGATAGAATCATAGTCCTCCAATATCTAGATTACATTTGATTGATCAATACGAATAAAGGTGACTACATCACGCGTTTATAGAAGACCACTTTAACATCAATGACGATTATTCATGATGATCAAGAATCTTTTTATTATGCAACATGGTTGTTTTTAAATTATAGTACAATGCAAGGTCGTATATAGTACATTATATATGGGAGAGGATGTAATAGCGAGAGCTCTAGAAACGACCGACATCATCCGCTGCGGTCTTGTTGCTGGTGTATACGTCGTCTGGATTATAGGTGCCCATAGGTTGTTGTGCCTCGTCATCACCCACTTGGTTCAGGCGGTCGTGATCGCTAAAGCTCACCCACTTGGATGAACATGTACATACAAACACAAGAGCCATGGATGCTAGTAGGCTGCCAAAGACATATTGGAGGATAGTAAGGGCCATGAATCCTCCCATTTCAAGGACATAAAATGAGACATTTCCAAAGATTTGACCAAGGGAAACCAGGGAAAGTAATAGAAGAAAGATTCGGAATGATCCACGGAATGGGTTGATGGCCAAAGAGTATCCAGGGCGAGACGACAGAACCAATTGAAGAATATTCATCATCACGATACCATAGGTGCCGATGTAATACATGACAATGGCTGCAAAACTACCTGTGACCAACACCAGGATGACATAGACAAGCATTAAAATGCTCATGAGTGCACTCCAACCATAGGCGGTCTTGGGAATAGTGCTGAGCTGACTGTCTTCAGAGGTCTTTGAGGTTCCGCGTACGACCTCAAAGAGGATGCACCACAGCAAGTATCGCGCAATCATGGCGAAAAGCACAGCCACTGAATTCATTATATAATAGGAACTATCCAGGTCAAAAGGAAAGCCCATTTGATCAGCAGCAAGAAGCTCCAAGAGAGTGGCAATAAAGAATGAGAGACCAGAGAGCATGGTAAGCGTATGTCGCATGGCATATCGCTTGTCGTTCATAGCCAGTTTGCCTGCCCAAAGCGTTGCTGCGCCACTGAATACTGCAACGGGTATATCAAATCCAAGGATATCAGGAGGTGCCATCTTTTGTAAATGTATGTAATTGAAAGAGGTAGTATGTAATAATGAGAGAGATCAATAAAAGAAATAGATCAAGGAGAAGCGTGGTCTTTTATAATCCCGTCAACACAACATGTCGTCATGACGCACTTGCCACAATCATACGCCTATCCTAAGCGCTGAATGGCCATCATGCGCGAAAAACTTTTGAGTTGATCATATGGATTGTAACGTTGCTGAGCACGCTTGATTCATTGTGCAACCCCACTGAATCGAAAAGGACAAAAGTCATGCTCAGCCTCAGCAGGTTGTTTGGTGCTTTGGTAGCACGGTGGTCGTTTTATAACAGGTATCCAGAATTTTGATAGAAATACGTGATCCGCCTTTGCAAACAAGTCCAATGGGGTCTTGAACGATGTATAATACTACACACATTAATGCTCATGTGATCGATGATGAGGATGATGATCAAGTAGTACGTGTTTAAATTTATTTACAGAACGAGATCGTAAATGTGAAGGGAGAGAGTACAAGTGATTAAAGCGTGAATTAGTCTATGGATGCGGGTGTAGAAATGGCGTGCGTGGATAATAAATGTAAAAGAATGAGAACATTGAATGTGTGAAAGAGGTGCTTAAGAGCGCTTGGTTTTCATGACCTTGCGTTTGATCAGCTTGTAAACTTCGCCAAAGAGGATATAGAAAAGGTTCAATCCGACAGCCATACCCCATTCCCATTGGATACCGATCATGCTGAAGCCTTCAATTGCAACCTGGGGAATGTACATGAAGAGCACCAAGGTGACAATATCAAAAATGAGCGTGCCGATGATGACCTTGGACTTGAATGTGTTCTTGATGCCCTTCCAATTCCATTCGATACTGCGATAACTGCGGACGTGGACCATGACAATGATGGATGAGAACAAAAAGGTGGTAAGCAAGCTTGCACGAGCACGATAGAATGCATAGCAAGGGCCTTCACGATAATTGGTATCACATTCGGATGCACCAATGCCATAGCCAACGGTGTAGAGTGGGACCACGTAGGCGACCATACAGATGATTGTCATACCAATTGCATATACAGTCAAATCCATCAAGATCTCGGGATTGAAAATGCTTTCAGTGGGAGGTCGTGGAGGTTCCTTCATGACAGTGGGAGAAGCGGATTGAGTGCTGAGATCGGCAGCAGGTGGCGTAATAGCAATGTAGATCAAGATCATTTGCATAGTCGAAAGAGGAGCAGCACTACGTCCATTCACATCCTGAATAGCCAATGCAAGAATGACAACGAGAGCCATAGCCGCCAATGCAATCCAATAATACAAGAGGAAACGTTGCATGTTTTGATAAATGCGTCGACCTTCAGCGATAGCACGAATGATAGTAGCAAAGTTGTCATCGGTCAAAATGATATCCGAGGCTTGCTTGGCAACATCGCTTCCATTTTTGCCCATGGCAATGCCCACATCGGCAATACGCAAGGATGGAGAATCGTTGACACCATCACCTGTCATGGCTGAAATGTTGTTTCTTCGTTCAGAGGCTTGAATCATCTTGACCTTGGTTTCAGGAGAGCATCGTGCGACAACCAATGGAAGGTATTCAAGAGCATCGACTTGTTCATCCGTTAAAGCATCAAAGCGTGGGCCAGACATGACGAGTTGATCATTCTGCATAGTGGTGTCATCCAAGATATTGATCTCACGAGCAATGGCACGGGCTGTGATCTCGTGATCACCCGTAAGCATATGAACAGAGATACCAGCTTCATGGGCTTCATCCACAGCAATACGCGATTCAGGTCGTGGAGGATCGTAGATACCAGTAAGGCCAAGGAACTCAAGATCACGTTCCATGTCGTCGCGAGGGAATCGGCGATGCATTTGATCGTGTGGTGGCAAGTCCTTCATGTCGGCAGGATCCAATTTGCGAATGGCAAGAGCAATGACACGCAAACCCTTTGCAGCCAAAGCATCGACACGTTTCATAATCTCATCGACATTCTTGACGTTGTTGCAAAGTGGCAAGAGACGTTCGGCGGCACCTTTGGAAAAGACAAAAGCATCACCAGAGATAGTGTTCCTGCACAAGGTGGACATGCGCTTGATCGTGGAATCAAATTGGTACTCCGCAAGTTCCTCCCAACCAGAAGATGTCAGCTGTGGCTTTCCAAGATCGAACTTGTGAGCGAATACTTGAAGAGCTACTTCGGTAGGAGCACCACTGGGAATCCAATCATCCGATTCAGTTTCTTGTACATCCGATTGTTGTTGTCCTTTCTTTTCATCATTCAAGGTAGGTGGCTTTTCAACCGATACCGATGATTCATCACGACGAAAGATGGCTGACATGTTGCACAAGGCTGAACACCATACAAGCTGTCGAATCGAATCAGAGATATTGGACTTGTCAACAAGTTCACCACCTCCCACTTGATCATCACTAAGGTCATCGGTACGATAAACATCGCCATGAGGTGCTAAACCATTGGGTGACACGTAAAAGTATCCTTCGTTGGGCGTCCAGAAACGGATGACCACCATTTTGGCCATGGTTAAGGTACCGGTCTTGTCAGAGAAAATGTTGGTCACCGAACCCAATGTTTCGAGCACCTTGAGTTTACGAACGACAGCTTTTTGTTGTGCCATTTCTTTACCACCAAGCACCAATGTTACGGTCATGACTATTTTGCATCATGTTTATTAGCCCCCTTGCTCCGATCACACATGTCTCCCTCCATCCCTGCATGATGCTTTCTTACCTGTTGTGAGACCAGCTGGCAATACCGACAATGCAGCTGTCATGGCATACATGCCAATATCATAATCAGCCTTGAAGCGTACGGATGCGAGAACGATAATGACACAAAGTACGGCAGCCACCAAAAGTCCAATGTACATTCGATAAAGACTCTTTTGCAAACGTGTGGTATCACCCTTACTTCCTGCATCATTGAGTTTCTTTGCCACTTTGCCGATCTCGGTTTGCATGCCAATGGCTGTGACAATGGCTGCGCCACGTCCTTTGGAAACAACCGTTGAGCTGTAGGCCATGTTGACACGATCACCAAGAGGTTCGTCTGGGCAAATAAAAAAATGTTGTCAGTTGATATGAATTCACAAACAAAGAAAGTAGGTAAAAATAGCCCGAAGTAAGGAGGATTTTACTTTACCTGCTTTGTCCAACACAATCAATTGCTTTTGTACGGGGACCGATTCACCAGTGAGTAAGGCTTCATCCACCTCAAGATTGGAAATGGTAACGAGGCGAGCATCAGCGGCAACGGAATCACCTTCTTGGATCAATAGGATATCACCGGGAACAATATCGCGGCTGGCAAGTGTTTGAGTACGACCATCGCGTAATACGCGTGCTTCAGGGGATGACAAGTTACGAAGAGCAGCCAATGTCTGTTCGGCTGCATACTCTTGAGAGAATGATAAATAGACGTTGAGGACGGCAATAAACATAAGCATGGAACCCGTTGGGTAGTCGCCAAATCCAAATGATACGGCACCAAGGGCTACGAAAATCCAATTCATGACATCCTTGGTTTGTCGTAGCAGGATCGTAAACCAGGTAGGACCACCTCCTGTAGACAATTCATTGTATCCATATTGATGATGGCGTGATGAAGCTTCTTCCGAGGTCAGGCCTTTTTCAATGGATGTGCCCAAGGTTTTGACAACCTGATCCACTTCCATGACGTGCCAGTCCGTGCTGCCAATGGTTGTGTTGCTGTTGCTGTCGCCACTGGTCATGGTATAGGGCGAAGATTACAATATGAAGTACGGGAAATAAAGAAATGTAACTTGGCAACAAATAGTAGTAGTGGTAGTGATGATATATATATATAAATTGAAAAAGAACTCAGGTAGAAAGAATGAGCATGTGGGAAAAGCCTACCGAAAAAAGGTTGAAAATTTCTTTTATAAGCAAAAGCAAATCATCGGAAACCATGCAGCCGGTTAACATCTGGCTCTGAAGCCTTTAGGGTAGGACGCCGCTTCCCCGCTTTTCTTGGTAGCTAATCGGAGGGGTTCTACCGCCTGTTGAATGATTGTATACCAATCATTCATTCGGAAAAGTTCGTCCGATCGATCCATAAAGAAAAAAACAGATTTCATCATAATTCGTCGATCTTGAATCATTCATTCAATATCATTGCTTATTTTCATTATCATTCTTTCATGCGAATACAAGGAGCTAATGGTATTATAGCAAGATTTACTCTAATGCTGCATACATGTGCATTCTGTATGAAGATCCGCTTGGAGTCAAAAAAGGGGAAAGGATGATGAATGTTAAACACCGGTCAGGTTTCACTTAACCAAGGACGTGCACCCGACGACGATCGGAAAAGACAAAATAAGTTGATGCGATTTGTTCGTGTGAAAAAGCACTTGATCGTTGTACCATCGAGGATGTTTATGCCACGATACCTAACGATGACCAAAAAGACACCTTGCAATGGCCTCGTAATTTGAGCACATGACAACTCCCTACTATGCAATCCACATTTGCCGCCAAAACCGAGGTATGGTTTTATGTATACCCTGACGACATTATTATTCATTGATCCGAATTCTAGCCACCATCATCAACGACATCACCTGTTATCCAATGGGAGCTGCTCGATGGCTCTTATGCGAGTGAACCGATTCAAGCGAATTTCCATAACGAGGGGGATTAGAACATCTTACTCTTCCAGTACAACACCGTACCAGAAATGTGGCAACGGCGTAGCGGGATGCACATGCATCACAGAAAGGAGTAGTAGGCAAGTTGTTTTTATTATTTGCATATAAAGGACTGAAGCACGCCATGCCGCAGCGTATCGTGATGATAACTCAGTTTCTTTGTCAGAAAAAATGTACCTTTGTGTTGTAAGAATGGATCACCATAACAACCCCCTTGCATTATCTGCACGTGCAATGCGAAATCAATCACTTAATGCATAAGATATGCAAGATGATGGCTAAATCAAAGCGTAGTTATATCCAAACGTCGATTGTTTATTATAGTAACCATACAAAGTACTATGTAATCATTATGGAGTCATAGTGTGTCTCTCGTACTTGCTACTGCTGGGACGTGGAGTTGGGTGGTGGAAAACATTTTGAAACAGGTGGGTGATTCTTCTCTCTCTCTCTCGCATTACACCGCCCGCTGGATGATCTTATAACACCCATTGAGACCAACTCCCTCCACCAGCCAACCTACGTTTAACAAAACCACCTTTATACATATCTGATTCTATATACGCTCCATGTCGTTTGATCGATCTCGATCCAACAGCAGCAACAGCACCCATTCAACTACTTCAAAAGCACGCCGACAACGACGTCCGTTCGCCTTCATTGCACCTGTGCCAGGATTAGGCCCCACCGTTCAACAGCGATCAGTAAGACGTACACGAGCAAAGCAGAGCTGTGATTCATGTCGACGGCGAAAAACACGTTGCAATGCCGATGAGACGTTTCCATGTAGCACGTGTGTCGGTCTTGGCGTTGAATGTCACCTTTCAGAGCAAAAACGACGAGGACCTGTACCAGTGACATACGTTGAAGCACTTGAAGATCGCATCAAACGACTCGAAGAGATGTTAACCAATGATGACAACAACAAACGAGAGAGCGGTGACCATGCGATTGAAGGTAGCAGCAGCAGTAATGATCATGAAAAGGCAGTGAAAGCGAGACCATCAGCATCTTCATCCACCATCAGCAACAACGAAGCAACTTCGAATGTGGCACGTGCAGCATCGTCGGATTCACTCGCCGATGATCTCAACAGTCTCAAATTATCAGATTACAACACCACCTTGTATATCGGTTGTAGTGCGGGCTACTACATGTTGGATCAAGAGGCTTTTGTCAGTAAACGTGGAGGTCATATTGATCATCGAGAGATTGTACAAAAAGTCAACGATGAACAGGATGAGCACGTCATTATCAAATCGGGTGGGAGCGAACATCAGCCATGCCCTTCATCCAGCCCAGCTAGTCTACGTGGTGGTTGTGGTATTGGTGATACTTCCGGATCGACATGCCAACAACGACGATTTGAACCCTTTGCTGATATACCCAACATGACATTGGAATTGGCAGATTCCATGATTGAATTGTAAGTATACGTTCTATTTGTTTCCACGCTTCCATGGTTACTCAAACAATCATGCATAAAAGGTACTTTCGTTATGTTCACGTGGCAGCTCCTCTCGTCAACAAGATTGGTTTCCTTGAACAGTACTACTTTCAAAACCCACAACCACCCGATGAATACCTATTGTACACCATTTGCGCCGTCGCTTGTCATTTCATGATCAAGGAAAAGGATCTCAACACAAGATACAAGATCACCGTGGATACCATTCGCTCATTACATCAATGCTTCCAAGCAAGAGCACAAAAGTTACTCGAGACTGTTTTTCGACGATCCAAACTTTCCACCGTATCGGCCCTGGTACTATTGGCTTCATTTGTTAACATGTCTCAGGATGAGGATGATGATCGATTACAATGGTAAGTGCTTATCCACATGGATGGTTTAGCATGTGTGGACTCACTTTTTTTCCCTTTTGTGTAGGTTTATGTGTGGAACAGTGAGTATCCGTATTACGTGAAACTAGTATGCATGATAGAAACATACCACTAACATGCACATTTTTCTTTATTCGTCCATTGCAAGGCCATTCGTATGGTGAGTACAATGCCTATTTTTTACCAACTTCATACTCACACGACTAGCGAATAGGCTCAAGATCTGGGACTTCATCGTAGTTCGGCAAGGTGGCGCCTTCCTGAGCATGAAATTGAGTTACGCCGACGTATATGGTATTGTGCCTACATTCTAGACCGTGAGATTTCTGCCGAGTTGGGACGACCGTGAGTATGATGATGGGAAAGGAAAAAGAAAAAGATTGGGTGATACTGATGATGCCTTATTGCCAGGTTGACCATTTTGGAGGATGACTATGATGTGGAGCTACCATCGCCTTATGAGACACCTTGCAGTTATGGAAGCCATACGAGGGACGTGGATGAGAATGAGCCGATCCCAAGCCTTCTTTTGGAAGCATATGAAGATTTACGTGAGCGACGTCCAATTTACAGCTTGTTTATTTGTTACATGCCTCTTTCTCGAATCCTTGGACAAATTCTGGGCTACTTTTATTCTGCCAAGGTGCAACCCAGTGAGCGGAATGACAAGATTGATGTTGCCAAACGACTGTCACATGAGATGGATGAGTGGGCAAGGGATGCACAAGATCGATTGGAGCATTATCCTGTCACTGCGGCCCCAGATAGTTACCCCACCAAAGATGGTAAGTTGATCAATGTGTCTATAATAGCCAATGTTGTATACTTATTTAGTACTTTAGAATTCTTGAACATGTATTATCATTGTCTTAAGCTTTTGATCTATCGCTCGTTTATTTCGGATCGAGATACGTTCAATATCGACTTTGCATTACACGCCCTCAGTGCATGTATGACATCAGCCATTGCCATTGTGGATGGTGTCGAGAGGATGGAAGCTATTGGACCTACAGGCATGCCATGGAATTTTATATGCTAGTAAGTTGAATAATGGCAACATCATGTTATACAACGAAACTCACTTCTTTGATATTAGTGCTATTTTCCAATCAGCCATCATGTTCTTATTCAATGTCAAGGGTGAAGATGAGTTTTTACGGCAATTGGGAGCCAAAAACCTTGCACGTTGTGCCAACATTTATGCAAGAGATGATGAATTACGTGGGAGTCGACCTGCACAAGTGCTCATGTCATTGGCAGCCAAATATTCAGTTCCAGTGGATACAAGTAGTGAAGGCTCATTTATGAACATGATGAACAGCGGTAGCCTAGCAACGTCGACGCCAACAGTGTTTCCTGCAACACCATCACCATCGCCCTCATTACTTGTCAATGGTGCCACGACACGAGCTAGTCAAAGCCCTGATTCAAACGTGGTGTATGTAGATGTACCTGTGCAACAACAACCGTATGCAGCATCTAATGCAATCAACATGCACGCGCCTCCTCCTCCTCCTCCATCCATGAGTGAATTTAATTCACAACAAGCTCCCATGGTGATGAATTCAGCAGCGCCACAATCCTCCATTCCCATGACTCCTGGTACAGCAGCAGCAGTTCCTATGAGCGATGTGCAATTTGATATTTCTGGTTTATCATCCGAGTTGTCTCTTTGGGAATTCCCAACAGCCATTACGTGGAACGAATGGAATCCATATTTGCATGAACAACAGCAGTAGTAGTAGTAATGATCACTTTCTTTGTACATATATATAACACTCCTCTTCTCTCTGCCTTGTACACTCGTATTTTATTGTCAACCAACAAGATCTGCTGAACCATCTCGACGAAATTTATAAGGGGATCCTTTTGTGGAGGCATCGTTGGCATGTTCTTTGATCCATTTATCAGAGGCTTCCTTGGTTTTCATGGGCGTGTGATCTTTTAACGGCAGCTCGGGCAATACATCGTCATGGGCAAGCACTATTTTTTATATACATCAGCAAAGCCCTCCCATTTCTGGTTTTCAACAAGCTACAACTTACACACTTGACATTGGTCTTTGGGGTATTCGCGCCAAGATCTTTTACATAAACAACGTGTCAATTACATGGTGCTAGATGGTGACATTGTGTGTGCAACCTACGCATTTTCGGGATCGATCCGCTCATTCACAGTGGGATAGTCAAATTCAAGTTCGTCAAAAGAATGTGCTGTTTCCGATTGCCTTTGTTGGTGATACTTTTTGGCATCGACGTTTGCTTTTCTTGCTTCAGGAGACATGGTGTGAATTGTGCTCATAACAAAAAGAGAGAGAAAGGATGTTTTAGGTATGAACCATTGAAAAAAGGTATAAGTGCCCATTGACCAAACCCCTGTCGACCCATTTATGCAGCCATGTAAGATGATAATCAAGCTCTCTCTTATTCCCAAAAACAAATAAATGAAACTATTTTGTGTGTGATCATATAAAAAATCAGTGATGCATATACAAGAATGACAAAAGAAACATGTGTGAGAGACAAAGAAAAACACAAAAGAATGACAATGGGTTGCTGTGTAGTAGTGGTAAGTGATTGGGGAGGGAGGGGGGAGGAAGAAAATGAAAACTATATATATGTATAATAACAAAGAGACGAGTGGTGGAGAAAGGAGTGATAATGAACAATGAGGCGGTGAGTTACACTAATTAGACATAGTTATTCCAATCAATGGAGGGCTTGTCACGCAAACCAAGGCACAATTCCATGTGAGAAGAGAGAGGACGTCGAATGACACTACGAATGGCTTGATCAAGAGGGAAAAAGGTTTCATTTCTTTCATCCGAAACAACGATACGTTTGCCGGGCGGAGGTGAAGTAGTCATGTCGATCTCTTTGAGTAAATCACGGAAAGTAAAAGTGTCAGTGATAGCAAGGTTCCTCAAATAATAGCGTGAATCAGGAGATTTGAGCGATACAGTCTCGAGAACTTGTTCTTGCTTGAAGATGGGTATCATGGGTGGAGGTGATTGGTAAGACATCAACAACGAAGACGACAAGGATGGGGTCGTTGTACGATGGTTGTTGTTATAGTTATTGGTAGTGCTGGAAAGTGGAGGCAATTGTTGATGGTTGGATGGAAATCGAGATGAAGAAGATGAGATAGGTGGTGGCGGTGGTGGTGGTGAAGAAGAGGCGTAAAGTGGAGTAGATGCACTTGAATGAGGTTCAAGAGTGCGTTTGCGCTTAAAAGACGTTGATGGCTGAATCATGTTGACATCAGGCGAAGACCAACGATACGAGGGTTGATGATGATGAGGTTGATGATGTTGATAACTACTGATCTCACGCACTTTGGCAGCCAATCCACCACCCAAAGGAGGAGGTTGTTGCTGTTGTTGTTGATCCTGATTGGAATCCACCATCATATCGATGCTGTTAGAGTCGGCAGGTGAAGGTGGAGCTTGCTGGGACTTTGTACGTTCATGCCGCTTTTTTGCACGATAAAGGGTGCTGCTATGTGCCTTGCAAAGTGACACCTCCGCAAGATCACGTAATCCCACGACGATACCAGCGTTGTCCCTATACATAGGATGTGCATGTTCCGAAAGCCATTTCATAGAAAACTCGAAATCCTCCTTGTCTTGAGGATGTAGCTTTTTGGCTCTAGAGTCCAAACTTCCTTCAGGCAAATTCTTGCCCCGTCTTGGCTGCACTTCTTCACAAATACAGTTGGCTCCATACATCTTTACAACATTATCTTAGTATCTCCTCCTTCGTACAGACATACTCTACTTACCCTAGCACATGTAAAGCACACGCTACACACCAAACAAGCATTCTATACACTCATAAGTATGCATTGCTTTGACATGACAATGTCCATTGTACCTTACGAATGGGGAGGTGACGACGTGCAAAAGCCGAGTTGTGAACGGTAGGGCCTGCATAATGGGATGGCGCCTAACCTTGTATTAGATTGATGATACTAGGATGATAATAAAGATACCTTTTACCTGTCCAAACTGATACACCGTCTTTTCAGTCATCCGCCAAAAGAGAGAGAGAGAGCAAGAATAAGAGAGAGAGAGGGTGTGTGAGTGAGTGAGAGAGAAGGCAAAGAAAAAGAAAACGGGAAAAAAGGGGATGAGTAAAAAGGATGCACGTCAAAAATAGAGCAAAGAGAGTGAGAAGAGAGAAAGAGCGCGCAACAAGACCAGCAGCAGCAGCAGCAATGTCTATAACCCAGGGGCGCGTTAACCTTGTTTGTTACTTTCCTGCCAATGCTGCTGTTGTGTCGCTTTTTGTTACGGAGCTCTTGTTCAAGAAGTGCTACGCTGGGTGGACAAACGATATGAGTGGTTGTGTTTCACCTGTATCGGCTGGTTCATCAGTAGTAGCAACAACATGATAGGATCTTCAGTGTATGTTTGTCACGTTGCTCACTGCTGCAGCTGCAACACCCCCTTCCCGACATTAATGTGCATTTTCTTTCTCTTTTACTGTTGTTGGGGGTAAAATGTGTGAATGTACGATTCATGGTCTGTGAGAAAGATCTCATCCTCCTTGCTGTTGTGTGTGTGTGTGTGTTTTTTGTTGTTGCTGCAAGGTGGCAATTATTCATTCCACCCCCCATATCTTTTTTTTCATCTCCCCCCAACTCGGTTACACATCGGGCTGCATCCAAGGTCGCCGCCGGTATCCATGGCACAACAACACACTCTTCTCACGCAGTAAAGTGATTCACCGTGATACACTCGTGAGTCTTTTCACTCTCACTCACTCACTCTTTTTACTCTAAGCGCCGCTACTCTTTTGCTGCAGCCGATCACGAGTTCAAGTCAGCGTGATCCCCCTCTTTTTAAAAGATGATCTCTCCCAACAATTCACATAAGACATCCATGATAGCTCTCTTTTAATATTGTTGGTATAGCAGCATTACAGAGATATACTAATACACTGGGTCATCATCATCATTGTCTACTACTTGGCAGTATCCAGCCCACCATCCATTGTTGTTGTTGTTTATGCTTCTTTGGATTCGACAAGCCATCCCAAATGAGCAATAGCCACTGTATCCAACATGCGGTCCTTGATCACCACCTCGGTTTCCACCTCCTGTTTGCCACCTTCAAATGCCGGTGGTGTAAAGTCGGAGGATGCTGTCAGCAATCCACGCGCCTTTTTCTTGTACTACAAGAGGCTCATACCCTTTAGTTGTCCGCTTTACCATCATCTCGTCTCCATCACTCGTCCCTCACGTGAAGACCACAATTACCTCCATACGAAGTGATACCAAGATGGCTCGATCCTTGTTCTTCAACGTGCTCATAAGAGCAAGACCACCAATCGTCTCAGCAAATGTGGCCAATGCAGTGGCATGAATACTATACAATCATCCATAATGAGCCTCTATGATTTTGAAAAGGCTTCGATCCTTACCTCTTGAAAGGGTTGCGATTACGCTTGTGATCCTGATATAATCATGCATCCATCATCCATTAGTACCTGGAAACCTATATACCATCATCACCACACTTCAAACTTACCCGCATGAATCCCGTACAGAATCCTTTGGAGAACGTGGCAATGCGCAAATCTATATCACCCCATCTACGTGTTATCAAAACATGGCATGATGGGTAACCTCCCTCCACCGAGAAAATGACTTACCAATGGATTGAGCATAGGGGTCAGCGTTGTTAAGTAAGGTGGCAAAGATCCATGGACGAAATAGCTTAATGATAGGCTTGTTGAGACGCTCCCAGATAACAAGAGGTTGACGAGCGTTGCGCATCGTGAGCAATAGATAAATGACAGTGATAACAGTGGTGATTATGACACCCACAATGAAGCGAGTGAAGATGGTCCATTCGAGTTCGAGTGCAACACGTACAAGACGACCCGTAGCTTCGAAATGTTCGTAAATGGCGTTAGCGAGCGGTGACAAATCCGACGCTGCAGCTGGCGTGCTTAATGTCATTGAGCGTAATAAAGAAGGAGAGGAGTGGTAATAGTAGTAGTAGTAGTTGTATACGAATTCACGCGTGTGTTATGGTGTGTGTGAGTGAAAGAGTGAGTGAGTGAGTGAGAGAAAAAGAAGATGCTCGAAGCTTTCTGCATGAGCAGAAGATTTTTTATTCGGAAGCAGCAGCACGTTCTACTAATCCCTAAAGCTACGCACTCCACTAAAGATGAAGGGACGCATCAATGCTAAATCATACACGGTGCTCTCATCTCGATCATCCTTTCGACTCCAATATTCACTCCATGCAAGCTTATTATGTCGACCACGCCGAGTCGTCTTGATATCGAGTGTCATGCAAAAATGATCGCGTGGACGACCTTTGTCTCTCATGTTGATTTCCACAGTGTGATGGTTGAGAAATTGAAACTTGCCACGAAACACTTGCGTGGGTCGAGAAAAGTCCTTCTTCATCAAACGGACCACGGCTGCTGGTTCATCCGTGGATAAATACTTGATCATGGTACCATCAGGGAAGAAGCGTAGATAGCGATAATAGGTCACCAAATGCACAGGGCGTGTCCATGCTGTATCCGATTCACCTGGGCGGATGTATTGGCACACTGAAATATACACACCATCATAATGAAGTCGTGGTCGATCCATATACATTCGAAGCCATTGTCCTTGATACAAGCTTGCAACGTATTCAGCTTGTACGCGTCGTGATTGAGCCATGCTCATGCCTGGTGTTTTAAACACGTGTTCACACGCATGTCTCCATAGTGAGGGTGATCGTGTCGCCACAAAGAATCGTTTGCACACTGCCGCACAGTTGGCAATGGAAGATGATGCATACAATACCACATGACTAAAGACTTGCACAAGGACTTCACCTATACCACCACCACCACCATGTCAGCCAGCTTGTCGCATTGGACTCATTAATTATTATATCCTTACCGGGTAACTTGGCAATGGAAACAGGTTTGTAATCGACCGCTGGTATATAGGGCATGTCCTGTTGTTGACAAAATTGAATAGCCATTGCATCCAAGGGATCCATCACATGGTGAAGGTGGTTCGCCACATACAACCTCGTGTCATTTTGCATTCCAAGCAAAAAGGCAACTTCACTAGGGCTATCAGCTGTTGCAGCCACTACCAACGGATCTCGTTCTTTCGACTTGAGGAGCGTTGTTGACGACAATGCACCATGATTGTTTTTAGTAGAGGTATCGTTTTGTAAGCATTGTCGATGGTAAAGCTTATCAACCTCGGGATCCATTTTGAATGCTCGTCGATAGTATACAAGGGCTATATACACAGCAACATGAGCAATAAAAGAAAGATAATCAAATTAGTTGGATGGTGCATGGTGCATGGGTAGGGTAGGGTGGGTTGTTGATTATGTGCTACGTGGGAAGCTTTCTTTACCCTGCCCTAGTTCCCCTTGACGTTCCATATCAATAGCCATCAGGTACACATTTAATGCGGATGATGATGATGATGAGGCTGGGTTGGATGTATCCTCATGTGGTGGTTGAGTTGATGATGATGATGATCCTAAACGAGGAACACGTGTATGATGTTGCGATTGTTCACCTCCTCGAATAATGGGTGCTGCTGTTGTTGGTTTCAACAAAGGTGATGAGGGTGGAGTGGTAAAAGGGGAATCGGGTGGTTGCTTTATGTTTCGTGCATGGACTTCTTGTTTCCATTGTTCTCGAAATTCATCCAACTCTGTTGTTCCTGATGTCTTTGGGGATGATGGAAGCATGATGATGCTGTAACAAAATGGAAAGAGAAAAGGCGTGTGTATGTTGTGCGTGTGAGCCTGATATTATTTCCTTTGTGTATGTATGTGTGTGAGAAGTGTGATGAGAACCCGTTTTGTTGGTCTATTTGCAAGGTGCACAGTGATGTGTGTGTGTGTATTTGTCGCATGATCATTTGCTTTTTGACAATCCTTTTGACTGGCAGGTATTATCAAACTACTAACCAGCTGTATGCATTCATCCTTTTTTTCACACACACACCACACGACATGCATTGCTTGTTATTGTAGCATGTTGTTTATCCACTCGCACTCTTTATTGCCATCGACACAAGAGCAACGTATTATTAGTCTGCGTGGGAAAAGGGGTAATAAGGAATGAGACCATCACACCATATTCTAGAGAACGGGTCTGTGCAGTGCATAATATTATAGTCTACACAGCCATTATGGTCACACACGCACACACACACACCACAATCCCCATCTAGCACGGGACATGCATGAATCGGGATAAAGATTCGTTATTGTTGTGGATCCCCAGCACTTTGCTACAAAACTCATTATAAAAGTTCCCTTTCTCAAGTACGAATTGAAGTATTTTATCCCTGCTACATTCATATCATCCATTGTACATCATGAGTAAAAGATTTATACTGTATTGCTTTCCTCTTACTGCAACGCTGCAACAAGCAGAATTCTATTCTACAAATCAAGATACTTTATCTCTAATCATAGTGAATGTGATTATCAATATGGAGCGTTTTCATTATACAAAGTGATAGGGTGGCATCATTGACTATCAGATAGAGGAATAATGAAGAGTAGGCAAGCTAATGCGGATGGAAGGTTTTGATCCTCAGCCAAGATTTCCATTGGTGGGAAACTACGCCGGCCTAGCACACTCACTGGGGGGGGGGGCATTTGGGATCATCGAGAGACCGCAACCAGAAGCTCCTTCTCTTTCTGCCTGTACGGGTAAGTGCCATATGAGCCTAGTGATATGATGTGTGATGAGGAAAAGAATGAATGATGGGGTGATGAACAATGGATGGATGGATGAAAGCAATGGATGAAAAGGGTCTTGAGTGGATGGATGGATGGATGCTTGGATACATCTTTTTGGATGATGATACTGATCAAGTTTGTACGAGTAGATTTCAGCAATGGTCCAGAGACTCACCTACCGTCGCCGCCTTTCCTACAACACTCGCTCCAACCGTGTCAAGGTTGTCAAGACCCCTGGTACGTTGATAAATACGACACTCTATTCGAAAAGGGCAACATGATATTAATCGCATACTCATTAGGTGGCAAGCTTGTCTACCAATACCAAAAGAAGCCCGTCAAGGCTCCCCGTTGCGGTGATTGCGGTGTTGCTCTCCCTGGTGTAAGTGTTCAACAATCAAACAATCGATGGATACGGGCTTTTTTTTACTCATGATGGATGTATGCTACTTTATAGCTCAAGGCCCTCCGTGCCCGCAAGTTGGCTAACCTTGCCAAGAACCAAAAGACCGTCAGCCGTGCCTATGGTGGTTCCCGCTGCTCCCACTGCGTCCGCAGCCGCATTGTGCGTGCCTTCCTTGTCGAAGAACAAAAGATCGTCAAGAAGGTCCTCAAGTCCCAAACCCAAAAGAAGTAAATCTTTTGACCATGTTCAAGGACTAATAAATCATTGTTTACAGTGATGCACAAATGCTGTTGTTTATATTACTGACATGTGTGTGTGTGTAATGTATATGGGTTGTATGTATGAAAAAGAGGGGAAAAATGCTATTGAACTATGAGGATTTTTGTCGTTTGCCGGTATTGCTGGATGCATTGGCACCTTTACGTTTGACGGATGCAACAAGCTGACTAAGGGATGAATCTTTCTTTTTCTTCTTGGATGGTTCATTGCCATTCTCTTGCTCCGATTGGGTCTTTTCCTATGCATCACAATTAGATGACATGTTCATAAAGACATCATTGTATATCCACTTACAGTTGCAGGTGTGCTCTTTTTCCATTCAGCATCGAGATTCTCACCCTTGATCTTTTCTTGACGAGAACTCATCAACTTTTGCATGCTCTTGGTCTTTTTGAATTGTGGATTGTTGGGATCAATAGCAAAGTGATGGGATTCATGCAAGGCGGCAAAACGAGGATCATTGACGTTGATCTCAAAGTCTTCTTGAGCACCTTCCAATTCAGCTGCCTTCTTTTTGCTCTTCTTGTTCTTCTTCTTCTCAGCCTTTTCACGCTTCATCACATCACGCATGTCAAAGCCTTCACCCTTCTTATCACCCATAAGAAGCTCCAATTCAGCTCGCTCACGTTGTTGCTCTTGACGTTCCTCTTTGCTCTTTTTGTTCTTCTTTTTGCTCTTCTCTTTCTCTATAATACAAAGTGAGTGGGATTGTCTAATCCATATTTTGCATATACTTACTCTTTGGTTCTTCTTCCACCATCTCTTCCTCAATTTCATCCATAGCTTCCTTAAAGTAGGCATCATTCTGTAATTCTTCATCCTCCTCAGATCCACTCTCTATATATGGCTTGTGATTAGTACTACTCCTATCTTGCCAAACTGTATACCTCTTACCTTCAGCATTCTGTTGTTGTTGGCGTCTTTCCTTCTTGGCCTTTCTCTTTTCACGTTGCTTTCGCATATACTTTTCAATGGTGGTCTCGTCCTTATTATCCTCATCGCCGTGAAGTCGCTTGTTGACGGCTTCTTCAGCTGCTTCAGTCAAACCAGGTGCAAATGTCACTTCCATATCGCCTTCTTCAGCATGATCATGGCCATCAAATGCAGAGTCGCTGTTCTCCAAAAGCTTTCTGTACTTTTCACGAAGAGCATCGACATCCTCATTCTCATCATCGTCATCATCATCATCCGACGAAGCAAGGTATGCGTTGAAATCCATCTCCTCAATGTCTTGCTCCGTAAAGTTGCGTCTCATGACTTCAATACGGTCGTAATCGTCGGCATCCCAAGTCAATTTCACTTTGGTGTGTTGAAGAGCCTATAGATAATAAACGTTGAGTTATTTCCATCCCACTCGGATATCTCTAAATGATACATACCTCAGTAGAGAAATTGGAAGGATGATATTCCTCAGGAGCAAAAGTAGCAACTTCACGTGGTTCATCGTCAAAAGTCATTTCATCGGGTATATAACGAAGATCGAAAAAGTTGGCACTAGCTTCGTATTCGTTGCCATCACATGCCTTGTAAATTGCACTTGCTGTCTTGACATTGTCGCATTCAATCACGGCATAATAATATCTGTGTCCTTTGATCAGTATCCATCTAACCCTCTTCCCTCCCTCATTGTAATTACCTGAGTCTTTCGATCTGGTATTTGCGAAGTGCTTCCTGATCGAATTCTTCTTCATAGCTTTCCTCATCACGTTCACGTTCTGGTTGATCATCATTCTCCTTGGCATCAAAAATCTCTTTGGGTGGACCTTGAAGATCTTCCTTTGCCATACGTTCCTTGCCAAACTCGGATGGGTAAACAGCAACGCTCTTAATGACGGATTGCGGTGGCTTGAAAGTGTTGAGCACCTTGAGTAAATCCACAGCCTTAAGTCTGTCCCAATCCATATTGACAGCAGCCAAACGATAAGTAGGTTCACCTTCAGGAATCTAATCATGCATTCATACATTAATGACAAGGCCTTTATATTCTCTCTAGATCTGATCCATACCTTTGCTTCCTCGTCACTGGAAGTTTCTTCATCCTCGGTATACTCTGCATCCGTATCCTCGCTGTCCGAAGAATCGATCACACCCTTGCCACGCATAGGGTCATATTCAACCTCCTTTTGACCACGCTTGCCAACTTTGATCTTTTCATCAGCAAGATTCTCTTCATCCTCTGCAATTTCCCTTTCCAACTCTGCAAGTGAAAGATTGTCGTCGTCGTCGTCGCTGCTTTCATCCTCTTGCTCAAACTCGTAAAGGTGTCGCAACTCTTCTTTGGTATCGTCCTCAACCTTACGACCATATCGATCCACCTTGGCTATATACGTCTTATTAATATCTCTTATGGACGAATCCACCCCTCGGATCGTGTGTACTTACGGCGATCGTTGAATTCCTTCGATGTCAACATGGACGAGAAACGCTTGTCGACCGTAACCTTGGTATCCTTCTTTTTGGGTCTCACGAAGCGAGGATCATTGTGGACATGAGCAAAGCGAGGATCGTTTGTAATGGGCTTGGGGGCACCCTTTTGCTGCTGCTGTTTCTTTCCAGACTTGGCCATGGTGAGTGGTGGAGTGAGTGTGTGTTCCAGAAGAAGAGGCGTGAATATTTTTTTGGACACAGCTTTCATGTCAAAAATGCACATCGCTCCGACACGGACCAACCAACAGCCACGGTTTGCATCATTTTGTGTTCCTGATAATACCTGCCGTCTTGTCCGTTTCATAGTTTGTTGTTGCTACATCACCCATCCATCCAAATACGAAATTGGTCATTATAGGTGCATCATTTCTCTCTTTTCATCCAAGATTGAATATGGCCCATACTAGTATTCTTGCATAGGATCTAATAAAGCACAGGCACGCTTCTCCCATCAATCATCATTTCATTCGAGGGATCGCATGTTGTCACTTGGTTCCTAATCTGGGATCGTAGATGTATGCACGCATGAACATCACATTTCAGAAATTGCTATTTACACAATCACAGGGTATCATCATGTAGTTATACATCAATCATAAAGCAAGGACTAAACGTCTACTTATCCAAGGATACCTATATTGAAAAGAGTGTCATGTTCTTGTATAAGGGAGAGGGGTCGCCTATTGTATTATCTCTAGCCATGATTGGAGTACGTAATGGTTAAACTACACAAACGTAACAAAAGGTACATTATCATATTCGGAAAGGATGGCAAAAGACATTTCCCAGGGATCAAAATGGGGCAAGGGGGTGAAAGGGGAGGAAGGGGGTGGGATTTCATCAGCTGGTAGTAGTAGTAATAGTAATAGCATCATCATCATCATCACACTTGTGTGCTGTGTGTGTGCGTGTGTAAAGTGAGTAAATAAAGTTAATGAGAATAAAGCGCCCAACTGCAACATTGGGCGCACTTTTGGTACATATCGCATATGTGTTGTGGGTACAAATCTCGCGATTGTTTTTGTCCTGCATAAGTGACCCATTTTCATTCTTTTCCTTTTTCACCTTTGTTTCCTTTATTACGCGTATCCATGAGATACTCAGTATCAGTTGCTTCCTCAACGTCTACGTACACCTCGGTCGAGAGTCCAAAACAACCCTTCCAACCCTCATCGCACGGCAACTTAGTTCTATCCCAGTCCTCTTGTCTTTCACAGACCGCCCATTCACCACTCCCATTCAAAAGTAAAGCAAAGACGCATGGCCATGGCTACATTGACTATTGCAACCTCTACATCAAGAACATTGACCCCAGCATCAGCAGCAACGACTTGTACGACGTCTTTAGAAAGTATGGGCATATTGTATCAGCGAGGATTATGAGTAATCCTGTCAACGGCCAATCCAAAGGGTTCGGCTTTGTCAGTTACACACATGTTGATGAAGCAGCAGCAGCATTAAAAGCCATGAATGGACAAGTGGTGGGCATCAAGCAGTTGACGGTCGCTTATCATGAGCCAAGGAAATTACGTACAATGTCGCCTGGATTTGTTCCACAACAGCAACCCTCCTCCTCAACACCCCCCTCATTTCAACAACCAACATCATCATCCTCGAATGTCAATGAATCAACATCCCGAATCCATTATCATCATCATCATCACCACACAGCATATCGATTCAAAGCCATTGATAGTCAAAGTGATATGCAAGTGCCTGACAATCATCATCATCATCATGGTATGTAATGAATGGGGTAAAGAGTATCAAGTAATGGAAGTATCTAAGGTTTATGCAACAAATATAGCGGTGATGGCAACGACTTCCGCATCAACCCCGACCAATCGAACCTTCACCAAGGAAACAATGACCTCTACTAGAAGAAAACAAGTAAATATTGGGATAGTGGATTATCGTTGGGCGGGGGCAATCATACTCACATGTGTGTCATAGTCACCATTGATGATAGAAGCACCGTCGACAAGGATACCAGATACACCACAACCTGCTGATGGAGATGGTAGATCAACAACAACACCACCCTATCATCCTTCACAATTTCAATCACGATTAAATCATGACAACAACCCCGAGGAGCAGCACTTTATTACAGTTGATTTGCAACGGAAAAGACTCGCCGAAGCCGCCACGCGACACGCCACATTTGATTACGATTTGAACCAAGTGGTGGATTTGCTAAGTGCGATGAGCGAAATGGATCAGGCTATGTGCCTTTTCAATCCACAATTTCTTTCACAAAAGCTACAACTTGTCATGGATATTCTACGTCAAACCAATGATCCTGCTGAACAAACGAGAATGATGTTAGAATCCACTACTACCACCAACACCACCGCCACTGCTGCTGCTGCTGCTGCTGCTGCTGCAAAACCCATCCACATTCAACATCCTTCGAGCAACAACAATGCAATGACCCTTACAGCACCTTGGAAGTATCATCAGTATAGCAGTAGCTATGGATCTAGCGATGTATCAGGTGGTCAACAACAACAACAACAACAACAACAACAACACTATACCAGGCAATATGAAAATGCTTTGGGAGATGTTCAACCAGCACCTGTATCGACATACCTCGAATTCGAACCAGACCCAGAGACGTGTTATACCCCTGTTGCAGAACCACCCTATTATCTATTTGATGTGAATGGCTATCCTTCACCCCCTGACGAATACAAAAGCGAGTTTACCGTGATCCAAGAAAAGCTCTCGCAAATGAAGAATGCAAGCATCTTACAAAGGAGACAAATGTTGGGTGATCATTTATATCCATACGTCAAGGTAAAGGTGAAAGGGTCGTATGCTATTCGTCATGTTATTATGTACTCAACAGACATGATCCTGCTTTTTAGAGAACGGGGGTGAGACGTGCACCCAAGGTGACCGTTTACCTTTTAGACACCATCAAACCAGAAGAGCTCGCCACCATCATGTTTGACAAAGTATGGCTTGATACCTATGTAAAGCATGCAGCAACCCAAGTGGAAAGATATCAGTGAGGAGGATAGGCGTAATTTCAAAGTTTATTTTCTTGTACACAATACACATTTCACACAATGCTTTTTGCATTTATAATAATACATCAATCATCATTACAACAATCTATCCTTGTCCTCTGAAGTGAGACGCAATGTTCTTGCTCGGCTCTTGTAATCATCCCAGGGGAAGTAAGCACCGCAAATACGACGATGGCCTGTAAATCCGCTACGTCCATGAAGCACACGCCAATTATCAAAGAGCACAACACGACCTGGAGCCAATGGTTCCCAAAACTCGTTTTCAGACTTCTTGAGTAACTTGTTCCAATGGAAGAGAGCATCATAAAAGGCTTCAAGTTGAGTGGAGCTAAGATGATCCAAGGTGGAGCGGTCATCATTGTTGTAACGCACTTGATAAAGACGACCATCAGGGCCATGGTTGAGAATGGGATAAGCACGTGGGGTGGGAACAATGAGGACATTTTCATCACCAGCGGAGTGTGTGGGGACAAGTGTGGATGCCAATGTACGATACGCTTCCGGGTTTTCGGTCTTTAGTTGATGAGCAATGTGGAAACCATCAACAAAGAGCGAATCACCACCCTTGCCCTGGAATTCAAGCTTGTGGAACATTTGCATGCCAGCGGGTTCTGTAAAGTACGTATTGTCCGTGTGAGCACCCAAAGCCAATGTCGTATAAGCTGTGTCCGCATGTGCCAAATCGGCAGTGAAAGACCATAATCCCTTGGAGTAATGTGTCTCACGCAAAAAGCTGATACGTCTTGCCAACGCCTCGGTGGCTTCCAATGTGGTAGGGACACCATCCACAAAACCAATACCATAGACTTCCAAGTTGTTGAGCCATTGTCGTAATCCATCATCCGTTTCCATGACAGCACCATGTTCCACCACGGGCAACTTGGATGCAAGTTTCTCAGCATCCCATAATTGCTGCTTTTGTGTAGCCTGCTCCAATGGCTCGGCAGTACGCATCACAGGGCTGTAAGAGTGTGTGTGTAGCCAATCCCATGCATATTCAGATCGATGTCCATCAGGCCAAGTCACCACCAAACCATCCGAAGTGCTATCCACAGCAGCAGGTTGAATATCACGAGGAATAGAAAATGTATCCACAAGACGTTGGCGTGTTTGTGCATGGTAGCACTGGTCACAATGGCAATGGTCTCGTAGCCAGAAATTATGGTACACGGATGTCTTGCGAGAATTCCAATCAAGGTAGATTTGCTTGTCATTGGCAATGCCAGCTCGCTGTGGCACGTTGCCACTGCCCTGAAGTTGCTTGCGTGCGTTTGGCTTATGAAAACGTTGGGCACTGACCGAGAAACAGGCGTGCTGGGGTCGTGTCAATATCGGACGAAGGCGAGTAAACATGTTCAAAACGCAGAGGAAGAAACAGAAGCAGCTGCTAATAATGGGCTCATATTTCAGGGACCTCTTTAGAGTTTACTTCTCGTAACATCAAAACGTCATCTGATTCTACCAATCTCCATAAACGGCGCCTGTGAGAATTACCAAATCAAAGATGACGTTGTAAAGTAGATCGTATACTTAGATCCACACATCACACACACACATGCAATCATATGCTTCTTCTTTATTGGCCTTTGATCATGACGGCTCATTATTCTATAACACTCAACTGAACAATGGCTCTCTTGGAAATGCTGATTGCTGATAGTTTCTAATGCTTCTTTTGATCATCATAATAAAATTCACGCTAACTTCTTCAACCACCTTCAAAGATCCCTCCGAACATGATTTGATCCTCGATAGTTATTGGTCAATGCTTAGAGACCGCTTGATACAATGTATATTGGAGCTTCTTTATTCTCAAGAGGTTAATGCGCTTGCTTCAATTAGGAGATCCTCAAAGATACATCGTGTTTTCTTAACCGGTGCTAATAGTAACATGTCGCACAATTTTGACCTTTGACGGCTACACCTGTCAGGAATAAACAGGTGATCCCCCATACCAGCCTTCCCCATACGCTTCATTTACAATCTTCAATAACATTCATTGACATCCAAGCTGCGACATTTGTCATATTTTCCTCATTTCATTCTTTATAATAAAAAAATTGACTAGCTATGACCCTTACATGACTAGCTATAGATCACCAACAAAGCGCTACCTCCAGCAGGTCAACTTCAGAGCCATACAGCAACCAATACACATTATCCATGAACCATGCATTATCACGTACCTGAACCTTCCCTTCATCAGCTTACCATGATATACAGTCCTTCATCCCATCCAATACGATTAGCTACCAAGTAACACTATGTATGAAGCCTCTGCGTACCTTTGTAATATGTTGACAACGAATCGCATTGATCATTACATGCTGCTGCCAAGTGTTTTCCAACCATAGGCATCATCATCATCAGAAAACGGCCGTGTAACATGCTTCAGGTATCGTTGCTGGATGACGGGCTATTGAATTTGTTGCAGCAGCGAATGTGGGGAAGGCGATCTCGATTCAAGCGAACCAGCTGTCGGCTAATGAAGGAGAAGGGGACTTTCCAATGCCTCGCTGTACATAGTCTTTGTCGTAATTCAATATAGCTGCTTGCACTTGGTGTAACTGTGTGGTGTCTTTGGTGGGTACGTGGAGTGTGTGTTGAAGGAGCTGCGAACAAGTGAACGATAGCCTGGTCTCGGGGTGTAATCTGGTAAAGGAACAACATTGCAAAGATACGAGGGGTGAATCACATAGAGGCCACAGGGATGATGGTGTCATTGCATTCTTGGTTGCTGCCGTCATAAACCTCGTTTGTCCATGATCCCAAATCCGTCGCTGCATAATATGACTTGAGTACTCCAATGCCATCCATGGCTGCAAAACACCATTCGTCAAAGGTATAAGCCATTTTGTCAATTCCATCCAATTCATCATCATCCTTAGCCGTATCCACGCGATCGTTCCTGCTGACAGCGCGTCAAGTAACCAAAGCAGCATTCCATGATTCACCATCACTGCACTTGATTGCAACCTTCCATCCATAACCATTGCAAATCCAATTGTTGGTTGAAAAGAGTCATGTGAGCGCTGCATGCTTCCTTCTCCATCCCCCTGTGGGCCATCTCTTTCTTGGTCAGTTTCCATCACTGCTCAACCAGAAGAAGAATTGCTTGTGTTGCGGCGTATTTGGTAGCTGATATGGATCATCCGTTGCTATCCGTATGTATCAAAGCAAGTTGCATGTCCAAAAAAAGGCTGCAAGGTAGTGCTGCAAATACAGAACGCTGTTCGAGACAATGAAATAAGGGCCTTCCTACTAGCAGCTGCTGTTACGTTTGGTCGTGGCAGAGGTGTGCAAGAGAGCTTGTGTTGTAGTAGAATGACAGGGTTGCGAACGCTGTTTGACACAATGCAGTAAAGACCTTGCTAATAGCAGCTGCTGCTACGATGAGTTGTGGCAAAGGAATGTGCAAGACAGTGTGTATAGCATCAAGGGAGGCGCGTGTTGTAGCAGCAGAGTGACAAGAAGGCTGTGTACACGACATGGACTTGCCCATTCAGTCAACGGCCATCGGATCAAGACAATTGTAGGATTGACATGGATGGGTTGAAGCAGCACAATCGTACGCAGGTGGTAGTTGTATACTTGAATGGGGCAACAGTTGAGAATGAGAGGAAGAGGAAAGGCGCTAAGAGTGGAAGAAGTGGAAATTCAATGTAGGCCGGGCACCTCTTGTATAAATGCATGCACACTGTACATCCAACCTTGATATTGAGATTGCCCTTCTTGATCCTGAAACTTTCACACAATGTGCTCTTGGACATGCTGATCACGTTGATCTAAAAAAGACCTCGTGTTTCATTATATAAAATTGAATGGGAGGGTATATGTGGGGTTTACTATGTAAGGCGGAAATGCATGTCAGCGCCAGACTCATCATTTATCGAAATAGTATACATTACCTTGGGATTTCCCATCTCGAACCTGAAACTTTGTCAGATGGTTCGTTGAGACATGCTGATCAACCTCATTCATTTAAAATTCGCAGAGTTCATTGTGAAGATTTAAAATGCGGGGCCGTCCAAATGATGGATGATGAGAACAAAAGAGCGGACGGCCCACCGCCCCGAAGTTGCCCACCTCCAACTTGAAAATTGGTCAGAAGGGTGCTCCGAGCATGCTGATAAGCATTTTTCTAATAAAAATGTCATGCTTCATTTGAAAATTTGGAACGGGAGCGTCCAAAAGTTTGAAAGACGGAGACATTCGCAGGGTCTGCGATTCATTAATTTTCATGTTTGCTGTTCCACCGTAGCTCAGTCAAATCGGCTCGGATCAAGAAACTTGAACGATGGAAATGCTCGGCTGGAGCAGGAGAATCGTTCACATGCAGTGGATTTTGCAACAACGTTGATTGTGAGGAAATGGCTGATAGCGCGCAATATTGGGCTATTGTCAATAGTCTACAGTATCATCCTTCCATCCTTCCAGTCATGCAATATAGCTGAGTTACACAAAGAGGTCCCTCTGCATCTTTTGCTCTGCCAGGGTCCGCCTACTTGACAATGAACAAAGACCACTCTTCATATAGCATCACGCTTACAAACATAAAGGTGCCTGTATCTCCAAACTTTACAATGAAACATGGGGTTTTGAATAGAGCAATGTGCTCGGTTTGGTCAACAGCACCTTGGGTGAAAGTTTCACGTTCAATGTCGCAACTAGCCCAAAAAATATTTTTCTGGTCGTCGTCGTCGAAGAGGTCGACCCCCAGATCCAGTTTGGCTGGTGGCGACATTGCGAAATCTGGGATTGGCAAGCTTGATCGTGAAACTTTCACACAAGGTGCTGTTGGCCAAGCCGAGCCCATTGCTCTAATAAAAACCCCACGTTTCATTGTAAAGTTTGGAGATATAGGCACCTTTATGTTTGTAAGCGTGATGCTATATAACAAGTGGTCTTTGTTTAATGTAAAGTAGTATGACTACAATAGAGCCAAAGACGCAGAAGGGCCTCTTTGGGTAACTCAGCTAAAAAGTCAGGACTTCAGGGACAATGCATGAAAGGTACGCAACCCTCACTTTTATGTCATACATTGGCAGCTAATAGCCACTTTTGTGCATTCCCAACTTTTGTGCATTCTATTGTAGGTGGACGATGCTTCTGCTCTAGACATTAATTTCCATGATTAAAGTAGGTTGATCCGAGCTGATTTGGTTGAGTTACGCTCACACAAGATTACATCGGTTGAGCTACATCGAGCGTGCTCTATGTCCAGAGTGATGTAAGCTCTCTTTGACCGTAGCTCAGTCAAATCAGCTCGGATCAACCTACTT